AATTCAGCTTGTCAAGCAAGAATTATTCAAGTGTCAGGAGGATTTTGATCTTTCACCAAATTATACCCTTCTCAGAACAATGGAGAAATCACTCACAGCCAATTACCTTCACTTGCTATCATCTGAGGAAAATATGAAACGACAAAAATCAAGAGTAATGTGGCTCAAATTGTGGACTGCAATTCAGCTTATTTCCATAAAGCCTTCATGGCTAGATCAAACAAGAACAAAACTTTCAGCATCACTTCACCTGAGGGCTTAACTGTTAGTACTGAAGCAGAGGTCAAATATCTTCCTCTCCCACTTTAAATCACTTCTTGGTGAGAACCTCCACCCCCTTGTGGTATTGTAACACTTTAACCATATATTACCAAGTCAATTCCTTCTTCTTTTCTGACTGAACTTGAAGCCATCCCCACTGAGCAAGAAATCTACAATTGCATATTTTCCCTCAAAGATTATTAGGTTCCAGGCCTGGATGGGTACAATGCCCATTTTTTTCATCAATCATGGCCTATATTAGGCAGTGTTATCACTAAGGCAGTCACTGAATTCTTCATGAATGGCAAACTCCTTCGGGAATGTAACAATTCATATATTTCCCTTGTGCCTAACTGTCCAAACCCATCCACAGTGCATGACTATTGGCCCATCTCTTGCTGTAATGTCATCTACAAATGTCTTGCCAAGCTATTGGCCAATAAAAATCAGCTCACTCTGCCACATATTATTGAACCAACGCAAACTGCCTTTGTGAAAGGAAGGAGGATCACAGACTCAATCCTTCTTGCCCAAGAACTGCTAAAATGTTACCAAAGACATTCTTCTTCCCCAAGGTGTACTATTACAATTGATATTAGGAAAGCATTCGACTCCGTTAACTGGTTATTCATCACCAATTCAATGACACTTCTGGGTTACCCTCATCATATCATTAAGTAGGTCAATTCATGTATCACGTCACCTTCCTTCACCATCTCTATTAATGGACAATTCCATGTCCACTTCAAAGGTGTAGGGTTAAGGCAGGGTGACCCGCTCCCCCCATTCCTTTTTGTCATTGCCACAGAGGTGCTAACTGGCATCATCAACAGGTTCATTTGGCAAGCACCAACCGTCAAATTCCATTGGAGATGCAAAGAAGCAAAGATTACCCACCTATCATTTGCTGATGATTTAATTCTCTTTTTGCCACGGAGACATCACTTCAGTTTCTACTCTCAAGTCAGCTCTTGATCTCTTTGGAGTATTCTCTGGCCTCATAATCGACCTCCCAAAGAGCACTGTTTTCTTCTCTGGCATGGATTGCTATACGGAACAGCTTATTACCAACCTCCTTGGCATTAAAAAAAAGATCTCTCCCCATCCAACACCTTGGTGTTCCATTAATTTCCACTTGTTTAAAAGCAGCAGATTACAAATGCCTCATTGACAAGATTACTCCGCGAATTGGTCATTGGACCTAACAAAGTCTTTCATATGCCGGCAGACTTCAGCTTATTCGTTCTGTCCTTATCTCAACACATCTGTACTGGGCAAGTATTTTTATACTTCCTCAAGCAATCATTAAAGACCTCCACTCCACCCTCAAGAAATTCTTTTGGTTGGGCACTGAGATGAAACAATCTGGATCCAAAATGGCATGGTATTTAGTATGCAGACTGAAACGTGCTGGTGGGTTGGGTATCCCTGACTTGGCCACCCTTAATCGAGCTTTTATAATGAAGTATATTTGGGAGATTGTTAATGTAATGAGCAAAGGATCTGGATAAAATGGATTAACCTTTACCTTATTAAGCACTCTAATTTTTGGGATTTGCGGATTCCGCAGTCTTGCTCTTGGAGTTGGAGGAAGATTCTGCAACTTCAACCACTTGCAAAGAAATTCATAGGCATATCATTGGGAATAGCTTAGCTACACGATATTGGAGTGATAATTGGTTGTCATGTGAGCCTCTTGTGTGCAGATTTGGGAAGGTGACGTGTAAGTGAGTTTTGTATGTCGGTGCACTAATGGGTTATGCCATTGTGTGTGGGTGCATTTGTTATTATTATTATTATTTTAATTGGTATTCATACACATATGTTTTTACTTAAACTTAAACTATTGATCTTTATTTAGAAAGTAAGGCCTGATATCGATCGGCCACTGACCCGTTGGTTGTTACTTACTTTCTTATTTCTTTTCTCATTGTTTTATTATTTTCTTTTCTTTTAATTAAATTTTTCTTTATTTTTTTTTTATTCGGGTAAGTTAGAGTGTGATTTTATACCTTTTTTTTTTTTTTTTTTTTTCCTTTGTAGTCATCATTTACTTGTTTATAACCACAACGATTTGTTAATAAAATCAGTGCTAGAAGTGAGTATCAGGCTTCTATCTTTTACTCGCAAGATTCAGCTTATTATAAATACACTATTGTCGGCGAATCCATGCGTGTCTGGGGCACCGTTTGAGATCATTTTTCTTTTGAAAAATGAAGTAGTCTTCAATTTAAAATGTGTAATCAACAACATGCATATTTTACTTTAATTTACAATATGTATGATTTTCGTCAAACTTATTCTTAATTAATAACATAGTACTAGTCACCTTCTCATATTTTTCTTTGATTGCTTTAAAATTGAAAGAAATTCATTTTCATTTTCATACTCTTACTGATGACAACTTGTTACCAAAAACCTCTCACTTCAAAATCAGTTTCAAGAATGAATTTATCCACCAGATATCCCAAGACCTTAATGGGCCCAAATGAGAGCCCAGATGGGCCCGTCTAAGCTCGACTTCCATCTCTTTTCGTATGCATATATCTATCTCCATTTATTAATTGTTCCAGCTCCAATTTCTCTCATGAGACTTTGTTAACAAAATCTAGAAGTGGTTAAGGTCAAAAAGGTTAAATTTCTCTTCCTCAATCAATTGTTTGTTTTCTGAACTAAATATCACTACCGTAAAAAAATAAATAAATAAATAAAAACTTATCTCTCCTTTTTTTTTTCTTCTTTTTTTTTTTTTCTTTTTTTTTATTTATAGATAATAATATAAAAAAAATGTTATTTTATTAGTTTAATTTATTCGTACCTACTTGTGAAGAATTCAATTTGAAATTAATTTCAACATCATTTCATATCTAATCAATCTACTCACTATGAATTTCAAAATGGAATAGAATATCATTCTTGCCTCATTTCATGTTTGCCGATAAAAAAAAATAGTAATAATCATTTCATTCTTCCTACCAAAGGTAGTCTAATATTATTGAAAGCTGACAATATTAAACCTAATTAAGAATGCAAGTGAACCGAGTTATTAATTAACAACTAGTTAAAAGTTCGGTTTGAGACTGTTGGTTAAGTAAATAAGTCAAATTTAAACAAAATTTTGAAGGGACATTTAATAAAATAGTCCATCCGCTTAGGTGTGTTAAGCTCGTAAAGAATCACAACTACTTACAAACCCACACAATGCTTTAAATTCTTAATTTAAATTTTAGGCCATTGGTATAATTTTATTCGAAGTTCACACGTGTTCCATTCGACCAGTCATTTACTTAAAATATTGACCCATTAATTCTATCCCATGAGCCATACATAATTGATCTCAGCCCTTGGATATGCAATCCAATCCAATCCTCCTTTACTTCTTCCATTTAGGCTATGTTTGATACAGTGGGAAAGAAAAAAAAGAAAAAAAAAAAAAAAGAATAACATTTAGTTATGAGGAAAAAGAAAGGGAAGGAAATGGAAGGATAATTTTAACCACCTATCATGTTTGGTTGATTAATGAAAAAACAAGAAAGGAAAAAATAATAATCACGTTTGGAAAAAGAAAGAAAAGAAAACTATTTTAATAAATTTACTATTATACCTCTTTATATTTAAAAAAATAAATTTATAGGTTTAACTATGTAATATAAAAAAAATATTTTTAGGGCAAATAATTTATTATACCTGGCCAAACCAAAATGAATGTGTTTTGTTGTTTGACTTTTATTTCAGTTTTGAAAATGAAAAAGAGGGAAAAATATATATATATATATATATATATATATATATATACTTTTGCAACATGTTACATGCTGAGTGCGCACGACATTTCAACAAGTAAGGCCTTTAGGGGTACTCACTCTCCCTCAGTTCTTTAGTTTGAGTTTCATTGAAAGTAAAGTCTAAATTTAAATGATGCACATACTTTGTAAACAATTGTGCCGAAGTTTGTAAATCATTCTATAGTTGAAAGTGACTGGTAAGTAAAATTAACTTGATCCGTTCATTAGAGTTTACATGTATGTGAAAATCTAGTCCCAACTCAAATGTATAGTTTCTCATGTGTTCATATGAAATTCTGTTGTCTATGCTATTATACTCTATTCAAATAATGTCACTAGATTTTTTTTTTTTTTTTTTTTTTTTCTTTCTTTCAAGAAACTTTCAAGAAAGTGTGTCAATACATGTTAAGCAACCGTGCTTCATCAATATATTTTCAATTCCATTTCAACATACCAGAAGTGATAGTATTAGTAACAACAATGAATTAGTGCAAGGTCTCATTTAAACCCTAATTTGGAATAAAATGGTAAAATTACCTTATCATTAGGCAAGGTTGATGTGTAGTCTTGAAAAATACTCCTTTGTATATCTCTCTTCCCTAATAGCTTTTACTTTCTCTTTCCTAACTTCTTGGTTTGTTCTTTACCCACCAAAATGGAAAGTTGAAGGTCCAAGTTCTCTTGGGACAAAGTAGAGTCAATATTTTTACGAGGATAAAAAAAGAGAGAGATTTTTTTTAAAAAAAGGAATTTAAATAAGAACCCAAAGCACCAAAGTTGATTAATTAGACTTACTTGAAGCCCAATTATCACCACAAGTTTGGCCTGGCAAAAGCAGACTTGCAGTGTCACAAAACCCATTGGGCTCACTAGCCCATGTAGGTTGATGCCAGCCCACGGTTGACTGATGATTCCGGAAGGCATAGAAATCCCCGCATGTTTAGGTTGAATCAAACGAATAGCAGCAACTCATTTCAGCTTCCCCAATTTAGGGCAAATCATTTCAGCCTCCCCAATCGCCTCCATCTCGATTCTCGTTCTCAACTCTGAACTTGCCCTCTCTCTCTCTCTCTCTCTCTCTGCAACTGCAAACTACAAAATCTACAAGAATCAGAAGTTCAAAACCCATATATTTCATTTTATCTATCTGTCTCCAAGAATCAAAAGTTCAAAACCCATATCGGCATATCATTTCAGATTGTTCAAAACCCGTATCTCTCAGTTTCCATCGCCCGCCGTTCCACTTCGGGTTCGCCGTTCGCAAGCTTCAGCCGCTGTCTCTCAACTCTCAAGCTTGCCCCCCTCTCTCTCTGCAACTGCTAACTTGTATGTATGGGTTTTGTTTTAATTTTTTTTTTTTAAAATCAACTAATCAAGCTCTGTAATTCTTGTTTTGCAAACTAAATCCTGAAATCAAGTGTAATCTTGATTTTGTGTAAGGGTAAATTTGGCATTTCTGGGTGTGTGTTGTTTTTGGTGCAGATCTGAATACGCAATGTGGTTTTGACCGGTATCCATGTGAATCGATCTATCTGGTGCTTAGATTAGATTTGGTGTTTCTATGCTTTTTGGTGTTTGGATTTTGGGATTTCAGCTTCTTCTTTTGTCATGTGTGGTTGAAATTTGGGGATCACTCAACTCCATCTTTATGCAACATTGGGTTTTTCTAATTTTGCTAATTTGTTCGGTGTGAGGCCCTTAAAAATGAGGGCTTTGTCCAATTTTCTGAGCTATTTGATATATGGGTTTGTGGGTGTGGCTTCTTTTCTTATATGCTTTTGATTATGCAGCTTCTCTTGATTTTTGGTGTTTTGAATGAGCCTTTTTGTTCTCAGTTTGATTGTTCCTTATATCATATACTATTATTGTTACTTGCTTATGGATCTTGCTTCTTTCATTTTCCTAGTTTTTTTTAGTTTTAATATCATCAGTTATATACTAGTCGGTCATTGGAACTTTTTTCTTTATTTTTTTTTTTTTTCTATAGTATTTATTTAAAATCAAACTTTGACGTTTATCTGAAATTTAAGTTTGCTGAAATTTAAGGTGAAGCAGTAAGGAAGGAACGCAGTTCACGGAAAAGGAAAACCCTAACCTCAATCCTCGTGTAAGGTGAAGAAAGAAGGAAGAGAACGCAGGTGCAAGGAGAAGAGAATCTCACTTCACTGTCTCACTGTTACGGTTAGGGTGGTGGCGGTTCTGAGCCTCTAAGAGGCATGTCTCCTCAATCATCAGGTAGCTAACTCCTCCTATTCTTCTTCTTTTTAGTAGATTCCTGATTGAAATCTGTAAGTCTTTGCTGATATGTAATACTTCCTTTAGTCATTTCGAACTTGATTCAAGTTTATTGGTTTCATATTGCTAATATGTTATTAATACTTTCTTTAATTTCTTTAATCATTTCGAAATTGATTCAAGTTTATTGATTTCATATTCTTATACTTTCTGTTATTATTATTGCTATTATCTTTTTATGAAAGAAAAACTTCTGATTGTTATTAAAGTCCAGTTTCCATATCTCTCCGAAGTTTCTGAGGTGTTTGAATTCTGTCCCTTTAACATAGGTTTACTTCATGTAAAGGGAAAAGAGCTCAGTGAAATGAGTGGAATCGGAAAATAGTAAGTGTGTTGTTTGTGACCATATTCTTCTTGTTTGATGTGATGTTACATTTTATTAATTGATAATTATACAAATTGTTTTTCTGATGTATTAGAAAAATATCATATTGCTTTGGTTCAATATTTGCTTTTTCTTTTTTACTTCTATTGAATAGATAGGACAGTCATTTGCAACACTCCTAATTGAATTAATTTTTAAATTTTTTTTTTTTACGAGTCTCTTACTATGAGATGTCTTTAATACTTATTATGATTTATTTTCAATACTGATAAAATGGATTATTTTTGTTTTTTTGATGTCTATTACTATGGATTATATTTAATGTTGTGGTATTATATATAATTAATATTATGAATCGAATTGTTGTTCACAAGTGTCACACATTCATCAGGCGGTTTCCCATGACTAGAGGACTGCATTTCCTTTTTTCCAAACATAGAGCGTTTAATTGCATAAATGATTCGATACCTCTTAGATTCAAACTTATATACCAAGCAATGACCTCAGTTGGTTAATATGATATAGGCGGCATTTGATAAAACTGAGAATCTAAGCATTTGGGGCTTTCTCAAAGCTGAATTACTAAGATATATAGATGGTGTTTGATAAAACTGAGAATCAATTTTTGGAATTTCTAAGAGCTGAATTTTTAAGTATTAAAAGTTACAAGTGCTTACTTTTCCATTTATAGGCACTTAATTGTTCTCGGTAAGCAAATTTTCATTTTTCTAATGTATGGTATTGGAAAGTAGTGTGGCAATGTGGCTTCTCTTAAAAATGTTTATTGAAGATGTAGATTTGTCTCCTTTTTTTTTTTTTTTTTTTGCTGAATGCAGATTACAAAAGTTAAGGTTCATTAAATTTGTTGTAACATGGAGATAGTCCTATTCCATGCTATCAGTCAAAAGCTTTTGTAGACCGTTATTACAGATAAACAGTTAAAAATGTTTTACGATAATCTGATATACTCTTCTATTTTTTTATTATTATTTTTTTCCGGGTGAGTTAAGCTCCTTTTTCTTGGAATTGTCACATCGACGATCGGAAAATAACTTACAAACTTTAAAATCATAAACTATTTTGGTAAAAATGATGAACAACAAAAATTATTTTACTCAAATTTTCTTTCCCCAAAATAAAGTTGCTGGACATCACCAAGTATCAGTACATGTAGCCTATATAGGCTTTGATATATTTTTTTTGGTAAGTAAAATAATTTGATTCTTGAAACGTTTAATGTATACTAATTAATAATATTTTATTATCATTCAAAGGAAGGTATTACATGTAGAAATAGCCTACTCATCGGTAGGAGAAATAAATATAACGCAAAAGAAGTTAATTATAAGTAGATCGACCTTCACATCCGATAATAAAACTGCCCATATTTGACTTATCAAAAAAAATAAAACTGCCCATATTTGTATTGTTTTTCTTTTTCCTTTAACTGTCTCTCTATTATAAATTGGCTGCATTAAATATAATTTTAAACTTGGTATGAGCTTGGTTTCGTGATGCCTGCAAGCGTGCAAGAGTTATAGACGGTTTTTATGTTGTTTACCGATTCCAGATTGACTCAAAATTTTGTAGATCCTCATTGTTGTCAACTGATTTTATATCATCTTGCTTTTTTAGTCATTATGGAGTCCATTATGCAGCTGATTACCCGTATATATAGGAGGGAGGGGTATATCGCATCATACCACAGGTACCATTTCTTAGAATTAATAGCTCTAAGTTGAATAAGTTTAGATTATTAATATCTCTATTTAATTATTTATTTTATTTAATAGGTTCATAAAGTCAAAATATTAGACTTCATTGAGCATTTATTGAGCATTTAACTGACGTAGAGCTGACATATCATTTGGAGGGTCATCCACAGTACTGAGAATTTTGAAAGAATGTACCATATCAGTAGTGCCTTCGTACAAAGAGCTGTATTGGGGCCGTGCTTTTACCTCGTTCTTCTATACCAGATCTTATCATACCCGGAGCTGGAGATGACGGAGGGCAAGGAATTTTTCAAGGTATCAAGGATATACCATGCAGTATTAGTGGTAAGATGTGACATAGACAAGCTCACTGCAGATTTCATTTTCCGGATTCAAAATTCTTGGGGGACTGAGTGGAGCGAAGATGGATTTACCTTCGTACGAGGAACTGTATTGGACCATGCTTCTACCTTGTTCTTCCATATCGGATCTTCTCGTACCCAGAGCTGGACATGACGGAGGCTTGGGTTTTGTCAGGTGTATAGATCCATATATATATATCTTTTAGATTCTGGTACATTTGAGTTTGTTATTGCTTCTTCATTGGATTAGTTATAGCCTGAAAATCTATGGAAATTAGCTATGAATCTATTATATAATCTTCTTGTGGTGCAAGCAATGGGATGTTCGCTGGATTCATGCTAGTCATCTCTTTCAATTTATTCTAGATTCAAAGCTGGAATTGTCTTTGTGACATAAACACCATCAGGCAGGGCCTTGAAACAAGGGTAGCAACCCAAAATCAACAAGAACGCATCAAGACAAAGGGCAATGCAACATGGGGTGGCAATTGGTGGGTTTGGGCTGATCATGAATGGGGAGTGAATAATCCAAATGCAACATGGGGTGGCAATTGGTGGGTTTGGGCCGATCATGAGTGGGGAGTGAATAATCCATTATCAATCTATTTATGATGGGTAATAAAAGAGTTGGGTGTTAAAACTTAAATATGATGGGTAATAAAAGAGTTGGGTATTAAAACTTAAATGGGTTAATTAATACACATCCAACTCAATTATCTAAATGTTTTTAAATACAATTTATCAAATTATTTTAATTGTAGAATATTAAAAAAAAAAAAAATTATAATATATATATATATATATATATATATATATATATATATATTGAAAAAAGTTATCTTATTGCTTTTGTTCAATATTTTGTTTTCCTTTTTTACTTCTATTGAATAGATAGGACAATCATTTGCACCATTTTACCACTCTATTTGGTTCTCTATCTTAATTGAATTAATTATTTTTTATTTTTTATTTTTTATTTTACGAGTCTCTTACTTTGAGATGGTCTTTAATGCTTATGACATATTATGATTTATTTTCAGTAGTGATAAAATGGATTATTTTCGTTTTTTTGATGCTGCTGGAATCCAGTCCCTTCGAGCACCCTATAGCCTACCACCCGTTTACATGAACCAGACAAGTAATAGAAAATTATGTGGGTAAGCGGTTTTAAACTCCTTTTTTTTTTTTTTGTACCAATTCAATTTTCTCCATTTTTATTTCCTCTTTTGGGCTTTCACTTCTCTCTACAATCTTGACCCTAATTCTTCTAATGTCAAATCGACATCCAATATGGTGACTTTATTTCGATGTCGAATTATCATGAACACGAAGCACTGTTGAACTTGAGATTTTTGTGATCCACCCATTTAATTTTTTTGCCTGATTGTGTTTAATTGTAACTATTATGTAGTATATTTGATTTAACATGTAAAGATGTTATGAATTTGCATTGGTCATTTTTTTTTGTCAACACATGTAGTATTATATATAATTAATATTATGAATTGAATTGTTGTTCACAAGTCACACATTCATCAGGCGGTTTTCCGTGACTAGAGGACTGTATTTGCTTTTTTTCAAACATAGAGCGTTTAATTGCATAAAGGACTCGGTACCTCTAAGATTCAAACTTATATACCAAGCAATAACCTTAGGCCTTATTGGTACGTCACGTGCCATGTTTTATTTGAATTATTTTTATTTGGTTAATATGATATAGGTGGCATTTGATAAAACTGAGAATCAAGCATTTGGGGCTTTCTCAAAGTTGAATTAGTAAGATATATAGATGGTGTTTGATAAAACTGAGAATCAAGTATTGGAATCAAGTATTAAATGTTACAAGTGTTAATTGTAAATTGGTAACTTCTTTGATACTTAGTATTTAAACTGGAAGTGTTCGTTGTGTAGTGATAAGTGGAATATGCGACTTGAAATTTAACTATTTCACATTTAACTTGGTTCTTATAAGTGAAATCCAATTGGGCTGTGAAACACACTTAATTAGACAATCACTTACTTTATTCAAAATTAATTATTGAATTTAGCTAGTTTGGAAATACTGTAACATTTCCATTGGCGGATGAATGGCATTTGACGGTCCCTTCTTTGGGTGCTTTCTCAATGAGCTAATTGGGAGGAATGAAGAAGTTGAACTTTGCATCACTTACTGGTCCCATATAGAAACTGGAGATTTTTACACAGGCCATCTTTTTCTTAGAATGATGGTTTTGATTTGTTGTCACGGTGTAAGTGCAAAATTCTACTCAACCAATAACAATTGAGAAAAATAATACAACACACTCAAGAACAGTAAAAAATAAATAAGAGCAGTATCTAGAATAGCGTAGAATTGCTTGATACTTTTATTCGAGTTTTGGGTCTCTATTTATACACAAAAGATTGGTTAAATTATGGTAGGACTCGCATTGCTTGTCCTCTAATTCTTTCCCTATAGAAATTCTTTACAAATAGAACTCCTTCCTTTGTATAATTTTCTTTCTGTAGTAGTTTCTTTCTTTGCTGTATCCTTCTTCTAATAGGACTAATTTCCTTTCAATGAATTTGGGCCATAAGTAACCTGATCCATGTGACATTGATTACGGGCTAGATCTCTTGTTTCGGGCTTGAGCAATGTTACAGAGATCAATTAGCTGCGACCTTGGGCTAATGTCTTATGATTTTGGGCTGTCAACGAGCTTGGATTGGGCTTTGAGCAAGATGGACCTCTGACATTTGTGATGGGTATTTGTATTGCAATGACGTGTACAATTCTTACTGGAGGGAGATTTTTCCCTCCACACTTTGCCCCCAATTCCCTCTTTAATTGGATTGCGGCTCCTATTAAAAAGGGAATTGAAGTTGCACGGTTGTCTTTTTTACCAAAAAAAATGTTTCGAGGATTGCCCATTGCCATTCTGCCTTAAGAGATTCTATAAGGGTTACTTTTGCTCTCATTACGTTTCTTGCATTCTTCACTCCGTCGTCTTATCAGGTTAGTTCTCCATCTTTTTCTCTTCGATCTTGCATTATGAGTACTTCAACTACTCCTGAACGTATAGATATGATAGATTCTTAGTCCACTCCCTCGTCTTCCCCTAATCTCATTAGGGTTCCCCTACCTAGGGTTTCAAACTTTCCTAAACCCGTAAGTGACTCGGCTAATCAGCCAGGTGCTTCTCCGATCCAGGTTGAAACATCCATTTCTGGGTCGAACAATATCCTCACTAAGGAAGAGAGGAGTGCAATTCTATCTATTCGTCGCATCCCGTTCTCCGTTGAATCCGTAATGGAAGAATTTGAGATTCCCGAGGGAGTAGAAATCGCAGAGTACCCCAAAGGTGCTGATTTTTGCGCCGGCGAAGGCGTCGGGGAGGATGAGTTGCTCCTCTCTGTTGGGCATCTCCACTCTCTTAGGTTCCCCTTTCATCCCTTCTATCATTTAGTCTTTAACAAATTGGGGATTGCACCCCTGTAAGTAAACCCTAACTTTCTTCGAGTAATCTCAGCACTCCTCATTCGCCGGTGGTAGGAGAGTCTTGACTTGACTCTGGCTGACTTGCTGATTACTTATTCTATTTCTAAGCATGGAACCGAGCCTTGTCGTTTCTTTTTCACTTCCCCCTTGCACCAAAGGATATGCACAGACCTTCCTACTTCTGAGAAGAAGTGGAAAGAAAGGATGATAGTTGTTAGAGGGAAATGGGCCATGCCCCAATCGAGCAAACTCCCAATCCCTCGCAAGTTCGGAAAATTAGGTATAGAACATCCCCTTTTTCTTCATGAAGAGTGCTCGGGCTGTTTCCCATGTCGAGTCTTACTATTTCGATATATTTACGAGTTTCTTGGTGTTTTTTCAGCAACATTTCCTTCTTTGGCTGCTAAGAAGAGGCTTTCCTTCCTGGAAAAACGGGTCTGGAGCAACCCTCTCTCGATCGAGAGCTTACTCACTTCTGCGAGTCTTAAAGCAATTGCTTCCAGAGCTGTAGCCACTGATCTCATGGACCTCTCACTTCCATCTTTTGACAGCTTCCCCATGACTGAGGAAGAAAAACAGAGGGCTGAAGCCTTGAAGAGAAAAGCTGCAGAGAATGCTCCGTTGACTATACTGCACACAAATGAGTAGGAAAAGGAGATTGACGAAGTCCCTTTGAACAAAAGGGTAAGGCTGAACTCCTCTTCAGCCGTGAAAAACAAGGGTGCTTCCAACCCAAAAAGCAAAGGGAAGAAAGTCGAAGAGGTTAACCCTGAGGATGAAGTCAACGCTTACGTTCTTGCCGAGGCTGGAGCACCTTGGACTCCTTCCTTCTCGAGGGCTAACAAGTCCATCCTCCATGTTGGTGATTCAATGATCACTGACCCATCTGCAACACTGGCCGTTGCTCGGGGAATGTGGCTCCCCAAGGATGAAGAAATTATCGGCAGAATGGGTCTGGAACAGCTACTCCCATCTGCCCCTGTTCGAGCCATAGAGGTTTGCCTCGTCTTTTATTTCCATTGTCATAATTGCCTTACACACTTTCTTACATTGTTATTATCTTACAATGCAGGGCTTGTATCATACAATGGCCCTCTGTGCTACTGCTAAGGCCCAGTCTCTTTCCCTTAAGAAGCTGGAGAAGGACCTCAGTAATTCTGAGAAGAAGGCATCCCATGCCATTGCTAATGCACAAATTGCATACGAGGCTCGGGATGTTTACAAGAAGCGTTTGGCTGCCTCTGATGCCAAAGTTGAGTCGCTAGAGGCCGAAGTCCAGCGTTTGAGTGACGCCCTTAGTACCTGCATCATTGCAGGGAGGCAAATGCAGGGTCGTTACACCAGTTTGGTGCGCTTATCTAGCGCCAAGGCATTCAGGTCCGGCTTCAATCAAGGTTCTGGGGGAAAGACAACAAATCCCGAGGCTTTTGATGCCCAAATGGGAGTGTCGTTCCCTTATGGTGAGGGTCCAAAAGCTCAAGAAGTTGAAGTTCTTTTTGCCGAGATGGTGAAAGCTCATCCTGAGGTCCCTTCAGCTCCAAGTGTCTCTACTCTTGCATCTGGCCCATCAAATCCTCCACCTGCAAGTCCAGCTGTGGTAGATGCTTTTGAATCTACCCTGTTTGATCCGAAGAGGAAGTAGGATCGAGTAATATATATATATATATATATATAGTATTATTATTATTATTATTATTATTATTATTTTCTTTGTAATGAAACAACATTGGGAATGAATGATATATCCATGTTTCTTTAAGCTGTGTCATTTTTATTCTGCTTTGACTAAGTATGCTTGTATGCTTTTTGTATTGCACATACTTTGTCAGATGAGGTTATTTCTAAGGAAAGTACTCTACCTGAGAGTTCCTTACCTGTTCCATTCCGAAGCAAAATAAATAAGATGTGAAGAAGAGTTCTCCTCTACTGGTTTATCTGGTAATAGAGGATTTTTTTTTCCTTTTGGTGATTTAACTGTTAAGAGAACTCTTCTTGAAACGGATTTGTGTGAAGCAAGTATGTTTATACTTGTTTCTTCTTGCAGTTTTTCAATGTGGGACATTCTCGTGGCTTACATTACCGAACTTAGAATCAGTGAATACGAGCATAAGAGTTAGGTTTGCCAAGCCGGACGCTTAGGGTCCGAGGTGAGTGAATTACTCCCCGGCGCTGAGCCTGAGGGGAGGTTTGCTTGCCGAGCCGGACGCTCAGGGTCCGAAGCGAGTGAATTACTCCCCGGCGCTGAGCCTAAGGGGAGGTTTGCCGAGCCGAGTTGGACGCTTAGGGTCCAAGGCTAATGAATTACTCCCCGGCGCTGAGCCTGAGGGGAGGTTTGCTGAGCTGGGCCGGACGCTTAGGGTCCGAGGCTAATGAATTACTCCCCGGCGCTGAGCCTGAGGGGAGGTTTGCTGAGCTGGACGCTTAGGGTCCGAGGCGAGTGAATTACTTCCCGGCGCTGAGCCTGAGGGGAGGTTTGTTTATATTTTTTTCTCGAACAACTTATCATGAGGCCGAGGATTCAAAAGTGATAATAGGCCAAGAAAGCGAATAACAGTGGCTGTGAAGTTTCCTATTTGTTGAGTTTGGAAACTTTCCTCCTCCATTGATACTCCCTTCTTGTCTACCAAATGTAGTGGACTACGCATATATTAATCGCATTTCTTGTCTATTTCTATCTGATGTGGGACATAGACTAAATTTTGTTAAAAAAGTCGGTGTAAGGAATGCCTCTGGTATTGAGCTTAACAGCCTTAAGTACTAGTGGGCCCTCCTTACACCGCAATTAACTATTTGAATATTCCCATATATAACAGAATGTAGCACATATTTTTTTGTCGATGTGGGATAGAAAGTTTTAAACATAGGCCATAACTCATGTTTTGTTTTAAAACTCATTGTGACGGATGCCTTTTTTAAAAGCCTGCTTCTAACATTATTTTGCATAAAAATTGCATAGTGTGACTTGTCATGCATAAAAGTGGCAAAATCATAGAGTAGTATGGCCCCCATTTTTATGGAAAGAAATAAATAGAGTAGAATTGTACTGAATATGATAGAAGTAAAAATAAAGAAAAGTTTGGCTGACTGTGGACATACTCAGCCTTATTTGTGAAGAATTTGTAGCAAAATTGACAAACTTATCTAATGGAAATACCATTTAAGGTGTATTGCGTTCCAAGGACGCGCAATGGGGCGCCCGTCAGCTTCGGCCAAACGATATGCTCCTTTCCCCACTGCTTCGGTAACCCTATAAGGTCCGGTCCAATTAGGTTCCAATTTCTTTACATGAGCTGTTTCTTGCTTCAAAATCCAATCGCCCACCACAAAGCTCCTGAATCTAACGCGTTTGTTATAACTGTTGCGCAGCTGTTGCTGATATGAAGCAAGCTTAATTGCTGCAGCATCCCTTTTTTCGTCCAGGAGATCGAGACTATGTTCGAGCTGCTGACTATTATTTCCTTCAAGCAATAAGAATGTCCGAAGGGTCGGAACTGCCGCTTCGGTTGGGATCACAGCTTCAGATCCATAAGCCATGGTAAAGGGACTCTCTCCCGTAGGCCGCCGCGGTGTGGTTCGGTACGCCCAAAGCACCTGAGGGAGATTCTCGTACCATTTCGTTTTGAGTTTCTCCAATTTCTTCTTTAAACAACTGAAAAATTGTCCGATTAGTTATTTCAGCCTGTCCATTCCCTTGTGGATGACTAACCGCAGCTAACTTTTGTACAATTCCATGCTCAGCAAAGAATTTTCTTGTACTTCTATTATCGAGGTTCTTACCATTGTCCATCATAATGACTTTTGGGACCCCAAACCGGTAAATAATGTTGTTCCAAAGGAAACTTTTTACCTGCTCATGGGTCACACTTGAGTAGGCCTCGGCTTCTACCCATTTAGTGAAATAATCTGTAGCCAGTAGCACGCACTCCTTTTGTTCCACAGTCTTGGGTAACGGGCCCACCATATCAATCCCCCATTGCGCGAATGGCCATGGATTCACCATTGCGTGCAAATCTTCGGCAAGTTGATGCTTCAGAGGACCGTGACGTTGACATTTGTCACACCTTCGTGTATACTCTTCTACATTCCGGGACAAGTACGGCCAGAAGTAACCTTGAGTCAGGACTTTATGCGCGAGGGATCTGCCCCCGGAATGGTTACCACAATCTCCGTCATAGATTTGTCTCAACACCGCAAGAGCCTCAGTAGGGCTTAAACATTTCAGGTAAAGACCTGAAAATGACTTTCGGTATAACTGATTGTTAATGATGGCATATTTAGCTGCGATGATACGGAGCTTCCGTGCTTCGGACTTCTGGTCTGGAAGAACCCCATGCTTGAGGTAGGCTTCCAATGGATCAATCCAGCATGGTTCCCGAGGAATAACTGGAATTACCATCACTTCCTGCGGAGGATTAATGCTGGGCTCGTCCAGAACGTCAATCGGCACAATCCGAATCAAATCCTCATTTGAAGATGACGCTGATGTGGCCAATTGATCTGCTTCGGCATTCTCAACACGAGGTACTTGATAAAATTCGATCTGATCGAATCCCCGTGCAACGTTCTCTACAACTTCTTTATATGCTTTCATTCTTTCCTCTTTTGGGTGGTACTGACATGTCACTTGATTTATAACAAGTTGTGAGTCACTAAAAACCTTTAAGTAACGTACCTGGAGACTGCTAGCCAACCGAAGACCAGCAAGTAAAGCCTCGTACTCGGCCTCATTGTGATACCCCCAGATTCTCGAATGCGGGTTGGCCAGGCCCACGCCCGAATACCCGAGGATATCAAAACAAATTGATAATAAACGAACACAGAGTACAAAAGAATAAAGAAAAATAAATAAAATGCTGACAAGAAACTAAAATGATAATCTAATAATAAACCTCATAATATATTTTCATTAATTAATAAACTCTTCTGATACAATTGATCCTCCAAAATATAACTCGGGAATCCATATTGTGTGAACCCCTAGAAAATCCAAACTAAACAAATGACAGCAATAACTGTCTAAATCAAGAAACTGAACCATAAAGGAACTCTTATGTAACATCGGAAGAATGAAATAGATTGATCCCCGCTCAGCACAAACAACCTCTACTCCTGACGAACACCTGAAAAATAATGGTGGGTCAGGCTCACAAACAAGTTCTACTCTACTACAGTCCAAGTAGAGGTCCGATACACGTATACATCCTAATCAATCCAACAGTAACTAGTAGTCCGTATATATATATATACACACTAAAGGAACCTCACTAGACTATAGGGTCGTCTCAACCTGAATAGTAGGCAACATGCAAAACGCACATATAGTGGGCACGAGTACCTAGACCTACCAGGGTACACAACTATACTATATCTAGCTACACATTCCTGGCGATATACGCACCCTAACCACTGATCCTGAGACTCAAGCTCATATCATGGCACCATACTTATATATATAAAATCTAGTAACCATCCTATTCAGTATAAATTAATCCTCCATAAGTTATTCAACTTGTTCATCTGACCTGACTTGAATATAAGTAGGACTTAACATTTTAGTTAATCCATTTCCTTATATAATAAATTAAACCTCCATAAGTCATTCAACTTGTTCAGCTGACCTGACTTGAATATAAGTAGGACTTAACATTTTAGATAATCTATTCCCTTATATAAAATAGGTAGGACTTAACTGATAAGTTAATCCGGCCCTAGAATGCCACCGTCCCATACCGGTGCATTAAACCACACAATCCAACAATTAATGTAACGATTAAGGAAATACATCAAATAATCCAGAAATAACTATGATAATATGATATCAAGTTATCACAAAATAGGAATGACTTATTATTTATTTAAACTTCCTATATCATATGTCCTACATAAACTGATTCTTATACATATGATGATATTTTATTATACCGTTAAATAAGCATTCTCCATATCCAATTCATCATACACATTTAATCTCAATTGCTAAAACATATTAAAAGATTAAATTCATTTGTTTGTTTAAAACATTCAAATAGCAAGCATCATTATGATTGAGTCTATTTAAATTTATTTAAACCCAAACCTAGTTCCTATTTAATGTTCAGGAATCCTAGGCATGTTTCTACGTTCCATCATTCCACATATATGAAAAATCCATAATTTAAACATGTAAAAATTCACACCGAAAATCAAATCAAAATCATACATTTATTAATTCATAACACAAGAACAGATATGAACAAAATTCATAAAACCTATATTCTAATCCAATTAAACATGCATAATTATTTAATTTTATGTGTTTAATAAATCCTGGAATTTCCTAGACATGTACAAAAACACGAATCAAAGGAAAAAATACAGAAGAAGAACTTGCCTTAAACTTTCAGATCGAAAGTTACACTTCTTCTTCCTTGATCTTCTCTTTACATGGTTTTTCTCCTCATTCCTTCCTTAATTTTCCTCCTTCCCTCTCTAACTCTCTCTCTCTCTAGAATATATCATGTGAATATTTCTAACCCCCTTTTACAACCTATAGCTATATATTTATAGGCTAAATAAAATAACCTTAACCCTTTTCTAAATCCAAGTCAACTTAAAAAAAATAAATATTAAAAAGGTAAGTAAAATATGTTACGTATATAATTTATGTATATCTTTATTAAATAAATAAATTATACACATCCCATTATTTATTAATGAATTATCTAATAATACTTAAGTTACCATAATATTATAAAGTAACTTAAAACATAACACGTATCAAATCTATGTATTTTTATTATTTAAATATAAAACATATACATCAGATTGAATATTACTACCTAAGTTACCATAAAAGTAATTAATAAATTACTTTCCCTTTTATATATATTAAAAAGGTAAGTAAAATATGTTACATATATAATTTATGTATATGTTTATTAAATAAATAAATTATACACATTCCATTATTTATCAATGGATTATCCAATAATACTTAAGTTACCATAATATTATAAAGTAACTTAAAACATAACATGTATCAAATCTATGTATATTTTTATTATTTAAATATAAAACATATACATCAGATTAAATATTACTACCCAAGTTAGCATAAAAGTAATTAATATTTTACTTTCCTTTTTATATATGTATATAATATATATCTATATATATACATACACAACTATCCATGGGTAATAATCCATACACATTCAACCTCCTATCCAAGTAATTCATGGGACCCAATTGGTTGGCCCATTACTACTAACCATAACCATAAAAGATAAAATAAAATAAAATAATAAAAGAAAAGAAAACATTTAATTTATAATTAATCAAAACACCATTTAAGCACATAATCTAATTAAACAATTAACACATAGACAAATACAAATAATACATAGACACATAATCAAATAATCAAGTAATACCTAATTCAATTAAACACATAAGCAATTAGTTAAATAATCAATTAAATAATTAAAAATACAATTAAAACAAATAAATAAATACCGAGACTATTCTTTTAAAATTAGGGGTATTACATTCTTCCCCCCTAACAAAAGGAATTCCGTCCTCGGAATTCGCCCTTACTTTCTTCCATTGTGCTTGGAAATTGTGAGCGAAAAACATCCTCCTATTCCCAAGTAGACGCAACCTCACTATAAGGGCTCCACTTAACTCCAATATATCAAGTGGTATACAGGGTTCCTATATTTTAAGAAACACAATAATCATAGAATGCGTAGGTTGTATTAAATAACAACGTAATCCTCCCATGTCGACAAGGGAATGATCTACATACCTTCAAGTGCCATAGAATATACGCATAAACTCCTATGCACCCAGCGCTAATAATTTAGTAACGCCAATTCAAAGGCGACTGCCACAATTACGAAACACAATCCTCTAAAAGTCAATGTAATAAGTAAAATTGACCTTTCTCTAAAAATCGTCGTTCTTCCTACATGGAAAACAGAACGAGCAAACTACTCCCTGATAGAAAAACTCTAGTATACGAGTTCAACTATTTACAACATCCCACTGTTGCCTCCCAACCGCGCGTAGTTCAATACAAAGGGAAGTATCTCTTTTCGACATATTTTTAAATGAAGTCGAGGTCTGATTGTACAACTCTTACTTCCATTTCCAACCAACAAATAAGAGGTATGCATTGTGAAAGATACAAAACCTCCAAAGTTATCACACTAACCTCCTTGTGCAAACAATATCACAAACAAAATTCCGACAAGTGAAGTAAACACTTCCAACTGTCCATAAAAATCTAGGATATACGCTTCAAACATATCCTTTATGGTCTAATTTAATCTCTCAATTAATTCCTCCGTCTATAGATATGAAGTAGAGCTGCTGCTCCAAAATCTTCATAAAGCTTATTCGAAATAGCACTTTGCATCTACTAATATGGACATCCACATGCTATAACACCACTATCACTGTACTATAGAACTACTATGAAGTTCTAAAATAAGCATCACTCAAATTTATGTCCTCAAGTGATCTTTCTCAATCCACCACTCGGATTCCATATGAAAAATTGAAATTCTAAATCAATGTCGATCCTTCCCACGGGCCGTCACTCCTATTTAATTCAACTTCCATATTTGTTATAGGAAGTGGCTAAAGATTCCGATGATCAACTTTCCATCTTTGTAACAGGTTTTACACTTAGGGCAATTATATATGCATTCTTATCCGTATCTGTTCACCAAAACCGACATTTGATGTCATGATGTACCTTCTAACCGTCTGAGCACACCGAGAAAATTATAAACTTTCCAGCTCAGTCGCCCGATCATCATATCACTATTTACGGAAACTACTAAATCCTCATCGAGTACCTTAAACTCCATCTGAGTAAGGTAACACCGTCTCCAAGGTCAGCTCCAATATTCAAAGTTGACCTTCTCAACTACCGTAGTAATAACAAGTGTTATTATTACACTTGCTATAAATACATCTGATAACTCAACAACTAACCGAAAGATTTAAATATTCTATCATTTGTTGAGAGCATCCATTTACATCATTGCTTCTACCAGACAGAACTTGATATAAAGTGTGAATCACCACTGTAATCCATCTAAACCGTCTCGTGATCCATTCTATTCGTATAAACTAAAGTCCTACCAGTTCGAAATAGAGAAGAACTAAGCTAACCTAACTCATCAGTCAACCAATATCCCATCCAGAATCATGACCCTTGTGCGAAGTCAGCAATCCCTCAACTAAATCCGTGGAAAATGCTCTCTCATTTCCACTTCAATATAAGGAATAGTTGTAAATAATCTAGTGATCTCTGATGGTCTATCTCGACTATCTAATAAAAATTACAATGGGAGACAAAATCACTATGTCCCTCCTCCTACCTGTCCTCCAAACATCTGCTTCATACCCTGAAGCATCATGTTTCCACTAGGATAAATAAAGAACTAAGAGTTGTGAAACTCAGTCCTTGCATCCTCCATCCAATTTGTCTGCAGAAAGTACCGTTAATCCAGTACCACCAGCTTTCGTGTATACCCATTGTTTAAATTGGAGCATCTTCAAAAGCGTATTCTGCAACTAAATCTATCCACCACTGATCTGTGATAAACTTACCGATATTGAAAATCAATCGGTAATTCCATTTATCAATAGTCAACTATGACTTTAACTCAACAAAAGTCAATAAATTACGACCTTTCCATGCATACCATGCACCTCATCTTTATATAAGTGTTTGGTTTCACCATCTTGTCTTTGACACACCCTGCTTCTTTAAGACAAGTTAATGACAATCCAACTTCTTTGTCTAACTTCAAAAGAATATAAAATTTTTCCATCCTCTACATAAGTCATCAATTTCCTTGCAAAAGCTAATTGTTACAAATTATGACTAAAAAAAATAATTCCATATTATTTATGGAAATGAAGAGACTTAGTTTCCTCTTCCATGTGCAACACCAGCAAATTCCTCCTAATGACACACCCTCTTGAATAAATTCTTGATTAAGAATTTACTGATGAATATTTATTCAGTCTCTTATCCGCACTCGGTGTCATTCCAATAAGTACTTAATCCAGTACTAAATCATCTTTCCGACTTGGTAACAACTTCTGAAATTTTCAAGAAAATGTTCAGCAAATCCAGCACCTCTGATATATCATCATGGCGTTACAGTGATCTTTATTTACCACTACCTCACGCATACCGAAACATTAACAACCACCAATATGATGGCGTTATAATATGATATGAATCCATACCTAACGTAAAGTATATCAAACTAATCGTTTTAGATTTTTTGACTCGTAGTGATGGTTTAATTATCCCATCCCAAAGCACACCATAATGATACATGTCCAGGTCCAATAGATTGGCTAGATTTATATGTATCTACCAAATCCTACGACCGTATGCTCACAGATCTAGCGTAAATAGCGCTATTAGTCCATGTTATTAAAACAATAGCTAGCTGATCACACACTTGTGTCCCCAACTAAACCACATACCAAATCCCGAGTAATTAACAAAAAAAAATAAATTAAAACACGTATGATAAACACAATAAAACAAGATATACTCCTACTTAGGATATCATTTTTTTCTATAAAAAAAAAAAAAAAAAAAAAAAAAAAAAAAAAAAATCTCCTTTGAAATCAACCTTACTAGATTTTTTCAAAATTTCCTTTTATAGTTTCATAAATAATCATCCAATCTCGAAACATATCCTTTAAAACATAGCTTAAAAACACAAATATTTGCCTAAGCAAATACCAAGGGCTTAACCCTCATCCTTCTTATATGCGGAATGTAAACTGTCTAACTTGGCTTTTTAAAGCGAATTAGAACGTCACAATATAATACCAATGCCCTCTTGTATGTGATTTAAAAATTATGTATTTCATTCTGATAAGAACACATCCGATCCCCAAACTCCTGAACAATACTTCTTATATACCTCTTTTATAGATGATAAGAAAGCGTAATTATTTGTAGATTGATCAACCCCAATTCTACTAATAACATTCGCTATACTACTAGCAATTCAGATCACCTCGCGCGATCATTCATTTTCAAGATTTAGTACCCTCTTTATTGGATGCACATAAATATCCTCCATTAGGATCCTCTTCAGCTCCTACTCCTCGCTTGTCTCCTTTTTGAGATCAACTGAAGTCGTGTTGGCCCTGATATGCGGGGACCTATCACGTACACCTAAATCCTTCCTTGGCTTATACTTTTAAAGTAATGCCAAATGAACCTAAACCATCGATCCTTAACTCTGCCTTCTGGTAACGAAATCGATAACGTACTCCTTTGGGTCTTTATCGCTTTCGCCTTGAACCCATCCTTTTCCTAGTGCCAACCATTCTATGACTATAGAATATAATTGACATCAGCTCCTTCCTAACAAATCGTAAATAGAGTACAACGAATCCTAATACGGGCTCTAAGTTTTAAGAGACACAACGCAGAAGTCACATAAAGAAAGACACTCCTAAGGACACTGGAACCTGGAATGCTCTGATACCAACTGTGATACCCCCAGATTCTCGAATGCGGGTTGGCCAGGCCAACGCCCGAATACCCGAGGATATCAAAACAAATTGATAATAAACGAACATAGAGTACAAAAGAATAAAGAAGAATAAATAAAATGCTGATAAGAAACTAAAATGATAATCTAATAATAAACCTCATAATATATTTTCATTAATTAATAAACTCTTCTGATACAATTGTGTGAACCCCTAGAAAATCCAAACTAAACAAATGACAGCAATAACTGTCTAAATCAGGAAACTGAACCATAAAGGAACTCTTATGTAACATCGGAAGAATGAAGTAGATTGATCCCCGCTCAGCACGAACAACCTCTACTCCTGACGAACACCTGAAAAATAATGGTGGGTCAGGCTCACAAACAAGTTCTACTCTACTACAGTCCAAGTAGAGATCCGATACACGTATACATCCTAATCAATCTAACAGTAACTAGTAGTCCGTATATATATATATACACACTAAAGGAACCTCACTAGATTATAGGGTTGTCTCAACCTGAATAGTAGGCAACATGCAAAACGTACATATAATGGGCATGAGTACCTAGACCTACCAGGGTACACAACTATACTATATCTAGCTACACATTCCTGGCGATATACGCACCCTAACCACTGATCCTAAGACTCAAGTTCATATCACGGTACCATACTTATATATATAAAATCTAGTAACCATCCTATTCAGTATGAATTAATCCTCCATAAGTCATTCAACTTGTTCATCTGAACTGACTTGAATATAAGTAGGACTTAACATTTTAGTTAATCCATTTCCTTATATAATAAATTAATCCTCCATAAGTCATTCAACTTGTTCAGCTGACCTGACTTGAATATAAGTAAGACTTAACATTTTAGTTAATCCATTCCCTTATATAAAATAGGTAGGACTTAACTGATAAGTTAATCCGTCCCTAGAATGCCACCGTCCCATACCGGTACATTAAACCACACAATCCAACAATTAATGTAACGATTAAGGAAATATATCAAACAATCCAGAAATAACTATGATAATATGATATCAAGTTATCACAAAATAGGAATGACTTATTATTTATTTAAGCTTCCTATATCATATATCCTACATAAACTGATTCTTATACATATGATGATATTTTATTATAACGTCAAATAAGCATTCTCCATATCCAATTCATCCTACACATTTAATCTCAATTGCTAAAACATATTAAAAGATTAAATTCATTCGTTTGTTTAAAACATTCAAATAGCAAGCATCATTATGATTGAGTCTATTTAAATTTATTTAAACCCAAACCTAGTTCCTATTTAATGTTCAGGAATCCTAGGCATGTTTCTACGTTCCATCATTCCACAAATATGAAAAATACATAATTTAAACATGTAAAAATTCACACCGAAAATCAAATCAAAATCATGTATTTATCAATTCATAACACAAGAACAGATATGAACAAAATTCATAAAACCTATGTTCTAATCCAATTAAACATGCATAATTATTTAATTTTATGTGTTTAATAAATCCTGGAATTTTCTAGGCATGTACAAAAACACGAATCAAAGGAAAAGAAATAGAAGATGAACTTGCCTTAAACTTTCGGATCGAAAGTTACACTTCTTCTTCCTTGATCTTCTCTTTATATGATTTTTCTCCTCATTCCTTCCTTAATTTTCCTCCGTCCCACTCTAACTCTCTCCCTTTCTAGAATATATCACGTAAATATTTCTAACCCCTTTTTACAACCTATAGTTATATATTTATATGCTAAATAAAATAACCCTAACCCTTTTTTAAATCCAAGTCAACTTAAAAAAAATAAATATTAAAAAGGTAAGTAAAATATGTTACGTATATAATTTATGTATATCTTTATTAAATAAATAAATTATATACATCCCATTATTTATTAATGAATTATCTAATAATACTTAAGTTACCATAATATTATAAAGTAACTTAAAACATAATACGTATCAAATCTATGTATTTTTATTATTTAAATATAAAACATATACATCAGATTGAATATTACTACCTAAGTTACCATAAAAGTAATTAATAAATTACTTTCCCTTTTATATATATTAAAAAGGTAAGTAAAATATGTTACGTATATAATTTATGTATATCTTTATTAAATAAATAAATTATACACATTCCATTATTTATTAATGGATTATCCAATAATACTTAAGTTACCATAATATTATAAAGTAACTTAAAACATAACACGTATCAAATCTATGTATATTTTTATTATTTAAATATAAAACATATACATCAGATTAAATATTACTACCCAAGTTATCATAAAAGTAATTAATAAATTACTTTCTTTTTTATATATGTATATAATATATATCTATATATATACATACACAACTATCATTGGGTAATAATCCATACACATTCAACCTCCTATCCAAGTAATTCATGGGACCCAATTGGTTGGCCCATTACTACTAACCAAACCATAAAAGAAAAAATAAAATAAAATAATAAAATAAAAGAAAACATTTAATTTACAATTAGTCAAAACACCATTTAAGCACATAATCTAATTAAACAATTAACACATAGACAAATACAAATAATACATAGACACATAATCAAATAATCAAGTAATATATAATTCAATTAAACACATAAGCAATTAGTTAAATAATCAATTAAATAATTAAAAATACAATTAAAACAAATAAATAAATACCGAGACTATCCTTTTAAAATTAGGGGTATTACATTCATTGTTCGTAGCTGGGAACTTCAAACAGATAGATTGTTGCAGCTTGGTGCCTTCAGGAGTTGACATTACAACGCCTACTCCTGCACTTGCTTGATTCGAGGAACCATCGACTCGAAGTTCCCACTGTGGTTCTGGGTGTGCCGGTTCTTCAGGAGTATCTTCATACTCAAGAAGGAAATCCGCTACGGCTTGTCCTTTATGCGACACCTTTGGCTCATAGGTTATGTCGACGGAACTTAGCTCGATAGCCCACTTGGTAATTCTCCCAGATAAATTAGGCTTAGAGAGTATACCCCGTATAGGATAGCTGGTGAGTACCACAATGCTATGAGATTCAAAATAATGGAGAAGCTTCCTCTTGGCGTAGATCAAAGCTAAAATAACTTTTTCTGCTTTACTATATCACGTCTCCGCATCTGTCATAGTCTTACTTGTGTAGAAGATTGGATATTGCCTCTTTCTTTCGTTTCTAATCAATGTTGCACTTGTCGATGTATTAAAAATTGCCAAGTACATAATAAGAACCTCCCCGGGTTTTGGAGCGGATAGAATGGGTGGTTCAGCCATGTAACCTTTCAACCGACTGAGGGCCTCCTTCTGCTGAGGTCCCCATATATCTTTATTCTTGGATCGTATAGCATCGAAGAATGGTTTGCACTTATCTGACAATCGGGATATAAATCAGCTGAGTGCTGTGATCCGATCAGTAAGTACCTGCACTTCCTTGCGATTTTTTGGTTCCTGATTCTGGATGAGGGCTTTAGCCTGAGCCGGACTTACCTCTATCCCTTTTTTATTCACTATGTGACCGAGGAATTGACCTGATGATACCGCGAAGGAGCACTTTGATGGATTCAACTTCATGTTGTACTTCTTTAAAGTGTTGAAAACTTCCTGTAGATGCTTCGGATGATCTTCTTTCTTCACACTTTTAACCACCATGTCATCTATATATGCTTCAACTGTCTTTCCCAGCAGATTATCGAATATCTTATTGACAAGGCGTTGATAAGTAGCTCCAGCATTCTTCAGTCTTAAGGGCATGACCCTGTAACAATAAGTTCCCTTTTCTGTAATAAAAGCCGTTTTTTCTTCATCTTCGGGGTCCATAGGAATCTGATTGTACCCCGAGTATGCATCTAGGAATGTCAACCTCTCGTAGCCGGTGGTAGCATCAACCATCTGGTCTATCTTGGGCAGAGGGTAGCTATCTTTAGGGCAGGCTTTGTTGAGGTTGGTATAATCTACACAAACCCTCCACTTTCCATTTTTCTTTTATACGACTACCACGTTCGACAACCACTGCGGATATTGTACTTCTCGAATGAAACCTGCTTGCAATAATTTGTTTACTTCTTCAGCTATAATGCGATTGGGTTCAGGGGCAAACCTTCGGTGTTTCTGTTTGACCGGTTTGAAATCCGGATCCACCTTCAGGTTATGGCAGGAAACTGTGGGATCGATCCCTACCATGTCCGAGTGATCCCATGCGAAGGCATTTGTATTGCTCCGGATGACATCAATTAACGGCTCCTTTTCTTCTGACGTGGAAGAAGAGCCTAGATAAGTGACCTTCTGAGGGTCGCCGAAGATAACTTCCATAGCTTCGAGGGTCTCCTCGGTGGGTTTCGTAATTTCCTCTTCCTCTTTTCCCTCAAGATACTTGGGCAGTGGGTTCTGTAATTGCTATTTGGGTCCAGTTTTGGAAGCCTCACTTGGTTGCTGTTGAATCGACATCTTCTTCGCCTCAACCTGTGTCAGCATATAGCATTCCTTCGCTGCGACTTGATTGCCCCACAGATTAATTACTTCTTTCCCGTCTGGAGATAAGCACCGCATCACCTGGTGGAGGGTGGACGGAACTCCTTTCATCCGATGTATCCAACCTCTTCCCATGATGAGATTGTAAGAATGATGGATCTCTGTTAAAACAAAGTTCTCCTTCAGAGTCCTCTTCGCTGCGGTTACAGACAAGTTTATTACTCCAAGGGGATCTACTCTTGTGCCATCGAATCCCATCAACGGGCTAGAGGTGGGTCGAATAGATGATGACGCGATCTCTAACTGATCAAAGACCGTCTTTGTGATTATGTTAGTGCTACTTCCTGGATCTACCAAAACCCTCCTGATCATACAATTGGCCACTAAAAGATTGATGACCAATGGATCCTCATGGGGGAGTTGCACTCTGGATAGGTCGCTATCTCCGAATCCAATATTAATGCTACCAGAATTGATAGCATTGACCGAGGATATCTTTCTGAGCTTGTGGGTCGCCCTTAATCTGGACCTGTACACCTCCTCGGACTCTTGATTATCTTCAGACCTACCATGTATCGCATGGATGACTTTTACTTGCGTACCTTCTACCTTGCGGGGATAGACCTCTCGGGCCTTTACATGCTCCTTTGTCATGAGGTAATCTGTCAACTCACATTTGGCGATCATATTCTCCACCTGTCGTCTGAGGGATCGGCAATCGTTGGTTGAATGTCCATAATCTCGATGATGAGCGCAATGTTTGCTTTTGTCCCTTTGCTCCAGGGGTTGCTTTATTGGCTACGAAGTTGTGAACTTCGTCTTATTCTCTTGGAAGAGCCGAGCCAAGGTAGTTCGGAGAGGTGTAAATCCTTCCTCTACCCTTTGCCTTTTTTCAGGTGCCTGGGTGACTGGCTTTGAGGAACGTTGGCTTTTTTGAATCTTTGGAGTTGGGATTCTTTCTCGAGGCTTGTTTTCCACTGTCACGAGGGTAGCATGCTGCGCTCGGTGGGCTATATTTTCCTCAAGCCGAATGTAGATCTGGGCTCTGGCATTTAGAGTCTGCATGTCGGGAGGAGAATACTTGACTAAGGAAGTGTGGAACTTCATCCCCTGAATCATTGCAAGTTTAAATATCTTTATAGCAGTTGCGGGATGACAATCCGCTATTTCTGATGCCTCCATGTTGAATCTTGATAAGAAATCCTGTAATGTTTCCCCTCTTTTCTGCCTTACGGTGAAAAGGCTGGCAATGTTTTTCTTTTGCTTTTTATTTCCACAATACTGTGCCAGGAACATGGTGCATAGAGTTACGTAATCCGGGATGGATTTATGCGGTCTATTCCTGAACCACTCTAGTGCTGCTCCTGTCAAACTGGTAGGAAAAACTCTGCACATCCAAGGGTCATTACGATCATCCAAAGCCATTTTTTGAGCATAATGATCTAGGTACCGAGAAGGATCCCATGTTCCATCAAACTGGGTGTAAGAGGGCATGGTGAATTTCTTGGGCCTCTCTACCAGATACACATCATCAGTGAAAGGAGTTTTGATCAAAGAATTTTTGTGTTCTCTAGCCATCTCGGCAGGTGTTTGAATCTTCAGGAGTTTCTTCTCGTCAAAGGCATCCTGAACACCTGCACCATCTGAGATTCCATTGGACCACACCGTAAGCTTATGGCTGGATTCGACTTGCTCATCCTGCGTGCGACGAGGGACATTATCTGAAGCCGCAGCCTCGGATCTTGCCTTCCGTTGCTGCTGAACCTCATTGGGTCGTGCCCTATTAGGTAGAACCCCATCAGGCGGAAGTCCAGTAATCGGAGGAATATTCTGACTAGGGGGTGCTGCTGTGTCACCCACTGGTGGCGGTGGTGCCAACTGGGCCAGCGTCGTTTGCAGAGCGTTATTCTGCTGTTGAAGCAAGGCGATTTGAGTTACGCTTGCTTCGTTTGCCAGACGAAGTACGTCAAATTGGTGCAGAAACTCTTCACGCATCTTTTGCATCAACTCCGTCTGTTGATCTGTTGAAGATCCTCCGTTCGACATTCTGGACGGTTAGTTGCAAGATTCACTTGTGAAACAAAAACAAGAATGGGAATATATTTGCACACGCTTCCCACAGACGACGCCAAAGTGTAAGTGCAAAATTCTACTCAACCAATAACAATTGAAAAAAATAATACAACACACTCAAGAACAGTAAAAAATAAATAAGAGCAGTATCTAGAAAAGCGTAGAATAACTTGATACTTTTATTCGAGGTCTGGGCCTCTACTTATACACAAAAGATTGGTTGAATTATGGTAGGACTAGCATTGCTTGTCCTCTAATTCTTTCCCTATAGAAATTCTTTACAAATAGAACTCCTTCCTTTGTATAATTTTCCTTCTGTAGTAGTTTCTTTCTTTACTGTATCCTTCTTCTAATAGGACTAATTTCCTTTCAATGAATTTGGGCCATAAGTAACCTGATCCATGTGACATTGATAACGGGCTGGATCTCTTGTTTCGGGCTTGAGCAATGCTACAGAGATCAATTAGCTGTGACCTTGGGCTAGTGTCTTATGATTTTGGGCTGTCAACGAGCTTGGATTGGGCTTTGAGCAAGATGGACCTCTGACATTTGTGATGGGTATTTATATTGCGATGACGTGTACAATTCTTACTGGAGGGAGATTTTTCCCTCCACACATGGGTTTTTGCCTTTATATCTTACAACCATTTTATTTAGAAATAGCAGAGCTTTAAAAGTGGCTAAAAGTTCAACTGGTTGTCTTTTCTTGCTTTTGGAAGAAAACTAATTTATTTATTTTTTAAGATTTGGCCTAGTTTGGTAAGCATGAATGCAATGTCCATTTCAATCATTTTTTTGTTTGGTATGAGATTTAAAGTTAGAAAGAGTGATTGACTATTTTTTTAGAATGAAAATTCATTCCACGTCTAAACATGTGGAATGATCTTCTATTTTCAAGAAAATTTTGAAAAAGTTCAAATTTCTAAAAACCATCATGTTCCAAGTCATAACGACCACGACCACGGTCTTCCGCCCTCGCCTTCCGCTGCTTTCACCTTCCACCACTGCCGCCACCTTCATCCGCCGCCTCTGCCTTCTACAATGGCAGTTTGGGATCAGATTGGTGTTATGAAAGAAGAGGGAGGGTTTGGGAATCAAAGACATATGCAATTGGAACCAAGCTGCTGCCATGGTTAAACGCATATGGAACCGGAAAGTGAAGACGGTGGTTTAACACATAATTGACCACATCTTAAAAGATTTCCCTGACAAAAAAAAAAGAAAAAAAGGAAAGCTGTTTGGATTGAGTAGATTCAGAAAAGAAAACACAAGTGTATATGTCTTGCATTTTACCTTCTATTAGTGCCACATCTTACTTATCAAAAAAAAAAAATTAGTGCCACATATTAATACTTGTTTTCTCCTGTATTGAAAAATCACATTATATTGTTTTCAATCACTTAATTGTTGCTTTCAATTAAATATATAGATAAATATTTGCACCATTCTAGCAAGTTACTTTAAGCTCTTGTTACTTGCATCAATATTTGCACCAATGAGCTCCTTCAGTAGAAAAATTAAACAATTGCATCAAAAATTTCCCTCGTTTGAAATTTAAATTACAAACATCTTTCTAATGTGTGTATATGTAGTAATTTCTATGTCAATATAACATTCTTGCTGCTAGTAGTTCCTATTCAACATTTTTTTAATTTTATTTTTCTCCGAGAGAAAGGTTAAGTGAAAGAATGTCGGGTATTAGATTGGAATTCAGCCAACATATGGGACATAAGTTTTCTCCTTACCAAAAACCTAGAGGCATTTCAACCCCAAAGACTACACCTAGCTTTCTCTTTCACATTACAGGCTAAATACTAAGGAAACAAGGGTGGTTTACAGGGTGTTACAGTGTTTTTGTTTTTTTGGTTCCAATTATGTAAACATGTATGTTGTTTGAGGTGCATAATTCTTCTAATTCGGATCAAAGTCTTAGTTAAATGCTTAGGTGGTTGAGATAGCTTATAGCCTTGCCAATTCCGCTACCTCCACTTAGGAGCAACCTTTTATTCCTTAGATTTACAGAGATTGCACTGGAGAGACAAAAATTTATGGCACAAATTCAATACAACAAAAACAGTTGTATTTGGAACGGTGGCTTATAAATTTAGATTCAGATAGAAAAGAGTGCAATAAATTAAGTTGCCAATTGGAATGACAAAAGAGAGAAATAATGATTGATGAGAGTCTAGAGAGCGAGACTCCTAAACGAAGAGAGAGAGAGAGAGAGAGAGGAGAAATCGTTTTAGCCTCTCTCCTATTACGTGGCATAGTCACATTAGATTCGGTGATTTTTTTGGATAGTTATGTTTGGTAAATGCATCACTACTCTTTTTTTATATAACAATAATAAACATTAATTATCCGCTTTCGACATTTTTCTTGATTCCACGGTGAGTTGAATGAGAGAGAGCGAGGGAGAAAAGAGAGTGCAGAGAGGGGCGAGAGTGTAGCCTGTACGTGGCGGTTGTGCCTGTGGTTTCTCTTTGTGCCCCAAAAATGGGTCTGCACATAGAGGGGCGAGAGAGAAGAGAGAGGGAAAGGATCCAGTGTCGGAACCAAAAAAACACAAAAATGTCAGCACCTAATAGACTGCTTACACGTGTGCGAGTGTGGAGCAACAGTCGCACCCGAACTGTCCCTAGCACTCCTCAAAATATATTTAAAGAAAAAAAAAAAAACAATACAAATATGGTTCCTTTGAATGATAATAAAGTATTATTAATTAGTATACATTAAGTGTTGCAAGAACCAAATTATTTTACTTACCAAAAAAAAAATCAAAGCCTATATAGGCTTCATGGACCGATCGTTTGTGATGTCCGTCCAGTAACTTTATTTTGGCGACAGAAAATTTGAGTAAAATAATTTTCCACTAAAGCGTTTTTCATCATTTTTACCAAAACAATTTACGATTTTAAAATTCTTAAAAATTTAAAATTACTACATCATCACACCTCAAATCTTACGCACCTAATTTGATGCCCACCGAATCATTACATCCCCACAATTTAGAGTTAAACCAATTGAAAGATACGTATCAATAATAAAATAATTATTTGTTAACATACAATCATAAATATCAAAAGTAAAAAGATAATAAAACTTTCATGGTTGTAAATTGTACATTGTTCTTAAAAAAAAAAATAAACACAGATAACCATCTTTATTTTAAATTTCTTCTCCCACATTCTATTTTGTCATCTGCTGCTAAGAATTGAGACAAATATAAAATTTTCTTATTAAGTAAGAAAAGCATCTTTAAATCTCACCCACCTAATTTAGTGCCCACCAAACCAACTGTCAAGCACTTCATAAGTTAGGCAAAATTTGAAAGATGAATTAGGTAAAAATAATAAAACAATTATCACAGAGTTAAACCAGTTGAATTAGGTAACAATAATAAAACAATTATGACAAATCACAGACCCACAATTCAGAATTAAACCAGTTGAAAGATGCATCACGTAATAATAATAAAACAATTATTTCATAAATATCAAGCAAAAAATAATAAAAGGTCCATGGGTGTAAATTGTACATTGTTCTAAAAAAAAAAAAAACACCCAAATAACCAACCTTATCTTAAATTTTTTCTTCCACATCCTATTTTGTCATCTAGTGGTAAGAATGCGACCAATGTATAATTTTCTTGTTCTCTGAGAAAAGCATCTTTAATTTGCTAATATGTTGACTAAGCTAATATGTTGACTAAGGATCCGTTTGGTTAGCATGAAGTAAATAGAAAGCAAAAGAAACAGAAATTTTTTAAATTTGTTAACAATTTGGTTAGCGTAAAAGAGAAAATTTTTAGGAAAGTAAATTCTTGTAACCCCTTAATTTTTTTCAAAATATTTCTCGCAAAAAATGCAAGGAAATTTTACTTTCCCGTAAAAGTGATGTTTTTTATATCTTAATTTCGCATTATGCCCATGCCACTTTCCCCAAAACTTCATTAATAAGTCAGTTCCCTTCTATTGTAAATTACTTATATGTTAATATAATATTAATTTAATTATATGTGTGAATAAAATTAAAATGTTATTATATTTTTTTCCAATCATAATTAATAATGATTTAGAGTGATATATATATATATATATATATCTGAATATTTATGAATAGAGTGTAAGGTGAAAAATTAGGTGTTATTATTTACAATTTAATTCATACATAGACTTCTCTTAACTTTAGGACTCTAAGTAAATTAGATGGACCAAATTAATTTAGTTTTAATTCTATATATACTAGATACATCAAACTAATTTAGTTGAAGCATTATATTTCGTTTAGATTCAAACTTTTTTTTCTTTCTAACTTGTACCTATAATCACATATATTAAATTATTAAATATCATATTCATTGTTTCATTTTGAACTTAAAATTTTAATTTTGTTCATAATTCAAAAGATAGAGTAATGTCTCAAAAGAGTACAAAGTAATCTTGTAACTAAAAGGGTAGATTTGGTAATTACAATCACTTTCTTTTCACTTTCATGCTTTCTAAATTCACAAAATAATATTTTCTCACAACTTTCTTGAAAAAAATTCTTGCTAACCAAATGCACGATAGAAACTTAATTTCCTTTTCCTTTCTTTTACATTCTTTTACTTTCACTTTTCATTATAATTTCCGTCTAACCAAATGGACCCTAAGTGAATTTTTGAAAAAAACTCATGATTTTAAAGAAATCTTGTACAAATCGGCCGTGTGTGATCATAACGGAGTCCGAGAAAGTCCCGATTAATAAAAAAAACAGTTAGAAATACAATTATGGATCGAACCCGACCATTTCCGGAGTGAAACAACCCTAACGGATCTTTTCCAACCCATTTGGGCTTGCTGCCAACGAATTGGATCGAGTCTGGATCAAACCGGGCTTACCCCATTGAGAATACACATGGCCGCATCAGATCACCCGCTCAGACATTATCTTCTTCAACTTGTCTTCTCTTGCTCTATCTACCTAGGCATAGGTTTTGTTCCTTTTTTTTTTTTTTTTTATTTTTTATTTCTACATTAAGTATAGCTTTCAAGGCAAGACATGTTTCTATGAAACATATATCATCTGCAAAACCTTCAAAGATTTGCTTACCAGTCACTGAAATTCTTTCTTCTCCCTCGCTTAGATATTTTGGAGACAATTAGCTGCTTGTATCCATTGTTTAATTTTAAGCACCAATTCTTCCTTAAAAATAAAAAAATAAAAAATAAAAACACTTTTTTAACAATTCAATGCCAAGCCGTTAAAAACTGTGTCCAAGAAAAGACTTTCAAATACCTACAGAAATCAGACAGGGAGGAGAAATAATGGATGAATGAAAGGAAATTTAGACGAAAGAGCAAGTGAGTCCCTAACGCAGAGGATGAAAGAGAAGATAAACCGTTTTAGCTTTCCAGGAATTTTTAGTCTCCTGCTTGAATGGGTTAATGAATTACGTGATTATGCCACGTAGGATTCGACTATTATTTGGGCTGTTTGGTTTGCTAAATATATCATTATTTATAAACAAAATGTATGACAAAATTCATTTGATTTTTATTAACAGAAGCATGTTGTGCTATTGTGTGCACAAAACTTGTAGGTTCAATTCTACAGACATCTTAAGTGCGTAAGAGTTGATAGATCGTTTATACGAAGTTTATACAATTTCAATAGAATTTCGATTGACTGAAAGTTTTGTAGAGGATCATGCTTGCCAACTGATGTCGTATCAGCATACTTTTACCTACATTATGCACCATGGAGTTCATTACGTCGCTGACTATCCATACTGCTGACAATTTTTTTTGGATAACTCATTATGTTTACAGGGATGATTTGTATAAATCAACACTACAAATTTCATTATACAAGTCTCAAGTCTCACTCATGAGTTGTAGCATCCAAATCAGACTACTGTTTTATAGTGATCGTCGTTTTAATGGACCATTCAATTTTTTTGGACTAACTGTGAGTATTACTTTAAAATCTTCTACGCTATATATAAATTTTAAGCTCTATATTCTAAAACCTTTCTCATCATACTTCTTTTAGAACTCAAAGTTGAGAGTGACAATTCATGTTTGCGAATCATAATCGTGTCACGTCGATTTAAGATTATTCTAGTAAATAGTTCAACGCAAACATGACTAATTTAATAGTTATATAAAAAATTCTTTACACTAACCCGTTCATTGACATATTTACTAAAATAAAATATTATATTACTTAAATTATTAATAATATTCAATCAAACAATAAATATTACTGTAAAATAAAATATAAGTTTCAATCCCAACAAAATTACTAAATATTCTCTAATCTACAAAAGAGTAAATTATAAGACACAAGTTTATATAGTTATTTTAGAACTTAAATATAAATTTGTCTATGACAAATACACTTAAACATGTATAAATGAATTATACGGGTTGAATCCCTTAATCCAAATCTGTTTAACTCAGTTTACTGTTCAAATCGTGTTGACAGATTATGCCTACCACCAAACAACAAAAGTAGGCATGGCAATTAACACTTAATTAATCACATTTAGAGAAAAAAAATAATTAATGGACTTACCACTATACCCTTTTACATTTAACAGAAAAATATATAGTTAAGAAATAGTAAGACAAATATAATTTTTTTTTATATGTATCATTCAAACTAAAGTGACAGTTTGAGCATAACAAAGTTAAAAGAATAAAAATAACGAGTACAAAAACATACTTTAGGAATTTCTTTTATAAAAACCACCATTTTTATCTTTTATAAAAGCACAAACTTTTCAGTATATTTGGAAGAAAAAAAAAAGACCCATTAAAATTTATACCACCAGACTAAAGTGATAAATGAAAAAAAAAAAAAAAAAAAAATTAAGAACAAGTGATTAGTAATTTTTAGTACAGCGAAAAAAGAAAAAAACGAAGTGATAAGTGAAAGTCAGTGTTAAAAGCCACCATCAATTATAACCAGGAAATGAGTAACATCAGCGACTGATCCGAACCAAATCTCAACCAGAAGATCGGAAGACCCTTCATAACGGGGTTCTCTTCTCCGAATTGTTTGAAATGGGGAAGCATTCTCAACTATAATCTGCAAATATATATATATATATATATATATAGAAGAGATAAGGATGGCTTCTCAGTTAGTGCAACCGCCTCTTTCAGCTCTCTCACTGTTCACCTCTTCCTCTTCATCTTCTCTCCAAACCCTTTCCTTCTTCTACCACCACCGCCGCCGCCATTTGGGGTTGCCAAGCGCTGGAGTTGCTGTCAACCGCCACCGCCAAAGGAGGAGGAGCACTGCTGGTCTTGTCTTCGTTGGAGCGGAAGATACCGAACTGCGTGTTCCATCCGCCGAAATTGACTCTGAAGACGACGACGACGACGACGACGACGACGACCCTAATCCCGAAGACCTTGAATATGTTGGCCAAATCAAAAGAGTAACAACCCATCTCTCTGTCTCTCTATCTATCTATTTGAGCGCTGTATATATATATATATACGCATATACCACATGTATATATTACTGTAGTGGTAGTTTTTCCATTTTCATGAGTTTCTTCCACTAATTTTTAGAGCAAATCCAAAACTTTGTTTAGGTTTTGGAGCTTCTCAAGAAAAACAGAGACATGCTTTTCAGCGAGGTAATTCCTTTTCATTTTAGCCGTGTGCTTTAGATTATTTTTCTAATTCCTTTTTCTTATGTTTTATACATAGCTGTTTTTGAGTTTGTTGTTTCAATTCCTAACTGCTATGAGTTCTTTATTGTTAATTTGACATCATTGGATTTCAAAGCCATGCATGATTGAGTAGAATTTTGGATAATCAAATGAGAAATAAAATAATTGAGATGATGGAATTAATCATTCTTCTTACTTGGATAAGTGTCAATTCCTCATTTTGTATGAGGAAAATCAGTGGAGAGAAAGGAAAGAAGCAAAAAAGGGCTTCATTTGTTTTATATGAAATAGGGATGGCATTGGTAATGACTAACAAACTTATTCTTCCCTTCCATTTTCTCCCACTAATTGGGGGTTAAGATCCCGCAATTCCCTTCCATTTTGATTTCCTTTCTTTCGTTGCAACTCAATGAATGAAGTGTTAAAGAATTCAAATGTGGTTGCCGCTAAACCTCTTGCTATGGAGATTTGTACCGAATTTCCAAATTAGGGCTGGTTTGAATTCGACATTTGAATTTCTGTTAATTGTCAATTCTTTCTTTTGCTAAAAATTGGTTCCATAAAACGGCTGTGCCAAATCATGATCACCCTATTGATATAACTTAATTGTTTCGATATTTGTAGGTAAAGTTGACTATAATGATTGAGGACCCAAGAGAAGTTGAGCGGAAGAGGCTCCTTGGCATTGACGATTCTGATGGTCCAACAAGGGAAGAGTTAGCTGATGTTTTAGAGGAAGTAAGTCTTCTTTTTTATGCCATTACCATGCCTTGCCTCATCTCCTGCATTGTGCATATAAGATGTTGAAATTATGCTCCAGTCCATATTTCTATTCTGTGGTGCTCCAGAATATGGTACATCCCGACTCGTGTTTACTAAGGTGAACCTCAATATTGTGAAAAAATAGTATTCATAGTATTACAATATAAGTTAGTTTGACCTTTGTTCTGTGCTTGTACAGCTCATGGGATTTCCATACATACACAAGGAATGGTGTATGAAAAAACATAGACATATTTCTTAAGATGTAAATACCTGATATATGATGCATCATAAAACAAATAAATTGGTAGTATGCAAAATGAGAGACAATAAACAATACTGTTCTTCAAAAAAAGTAGAAAGTAAATAATAAATAAAAAGAATAAAACAATACTCTTGTTGCTATAAATTGCCTCCCGTTTCTCCTCTCTCTCTCTCTCTCTATATATATATATATATATATATCTATAGTAATAGTGTTTTTTTTTTTTTTTTTTTCCTTTCTAAATGGTAAATGCTAAGTAAGCGTTGTTGCTCAAATATTATATGTTTTATAACACACTAAATAAAAAAACAAAATATGATTTTTTTTTTTTTCACTATTTTTTGTGTTTTATACTTTCAAACTGCACAATTATTTGAAGCTTTTAAAAGGCCATGCTTTTGGCAAGCCTGACAACCTTTTTAGAAACGTACGCAATCTCTCTCCATCTTTGGCCAATAATAGCCGTACCTTCTTAAGAGCCACTTCATTTTTGTACCTCCCCGATGAGAACCACAAATGCCATCATGAACCTCATGCACAGCTGATAGAGATTCTGGTTTTAACAAACACAGCTCTTTATGAAGCATATTAAAGTTATATTAATACAGTTGTTAGTTGGAATTGGAATTATATCTACCTCTTAGATTTACTTGTGCTTGTGATCAGTTCATTGTCTGCAATTATAAATTTAATTACAATTTGGAAATGTAAATATCTTGATTTGTGCACACACCTGTAGTTTTTTCCCCCTGGAACTAAGCTGCAGTTTTATTGTAATGTCTCTTTTAAAAATTACTCTCTTTTCATTAAATAACACGAAAACACTAGACATATATAACTTAATATAAAATGATCACATTAAGAGACATTAGTGATAAGTATAATATCAATCTTTTGAGTTATGACTTACTACTTTACATGTTTTTCTACTTCATTCTTTTAAAATTGCTTTACCAGTTAAGACTTTATATTTTGTTACATATATGACTCGTCCATATATACAAGTACATAAAAAAGTAGAGAATTTTTGCTTGCCTTTTCATTTAAAAAAAAATTGAAAGAATTTATAGATACACACACACACACACACACTTTTTTTTTTGATAAGTAAAATTGTATTAGAAGGCGTTCAAAAGGGGAATGCGTCCTAAGAATTTTACAAAGACGAAAAAAGAGAAAAAAATGAGATCTATGAATCCAACGACCCCAAAAAGTCCATAATCTCATCCAAAGAAATACAATTTCGCCCCATACCCCAACTAAAAAGGGAGCAAAGAATAGTGAACTTCAAAGCCCCAATGGAGGTCCCCTCCCCATCAAAAGATCTACGATTGCGTTATTTCCAAAGACTCCACCAAATACAAAGGGGAATCACCCTCCAGAAATTACGAGCGCGCGCTCCCACCCTTTGACCCCTCCACTCATCAATCAGATCCCTTGAGGTCTGGGGCATAACCCATTGGACACCAAAGAGACCCAACAAAAGGCTCCAGCAGTTGTGAGCTACGGGACAGTGCAAGAGAAGATGATCCATAGACTCTCCATCATTCATGCACATACAACATCGGTTAACGATAACATGTCGTCTCTTCCTCAAATTGTCCAGAGTCAAAATCTTGTCCCAAACAGCAGTCCACACATAAAAAGCCACCCTAAGAGGAGCCATCGAGCGCAAAACCGTTTTCCACGGGAAGGTGGGTCCACGAAAATCTGAAAACTGGTGAAAATAGGACCGGACTTGGAGCTTAATTAGAGTGTTGACTCCTTTACTTTGAATAATTAAAAATCAAAATGTACACAATCATACCCAGTGCATAATACCACTCTTAATGCTGTCCGTCAAGCTGGAGTATAGATATCTACCATGCCAAGCTTGTTACGCAGTCTAGAAAAGCAGTCTTTTTGGTGTAAGCCGGCAGTCTAATTTTATTTTCTGGTTCTCTCAAGTCTTATAAAAATCTGAACTGATAAGTAATACACACAGTAGCTTGATTGTTGCGAGAATTTTTATTTTTTGTTGTTTAAAATCCCATCTTCTACAAAGTTGACCTTATCTTAAAACATCTCACATATGTATGCTCTGTTGCTCATAGTCAGTTTCTGCATCCGGTCTCGCCACCAAGCTACAAATAGAAAATGTGCAGTATCCAGAAACTAATCTCCTGTCCAAATTATCTCCAATAATTTGTCTTGTTCCTGCCGCTATATTGTGTTTTTGTTCTCGCCACTATACTCTGCTTCATAATATTCTAGACTAGGCTCTTTGCAACCTTTTCCAATTTCTCAAAAACTAGGGCTGTAATTGAGCTGAGTTTAGCATTTACTTTTTAAGCTTGCTTGATCAAATCAAACAGTTTTTCAAGTTCTAGTTTGGCGGTGCATAAATTTAATCGTTTGAGCTTGGATTCGTTTATGTGTGGAAAGCATGAGCTTGTCTCGTTTAGCCAAAGTGTCACAACTCAGGGTAAAACTCAAGTTTGATAAGAAAAAAACTAGAACAGCCTACAAGCTCAAAGGAGCCTTGGTAAACAAGTAGTGCTTATGAGCCTAGACATGCCTATTCATGAACAACTGTCCTGAGTGTGCTCAGGAGCCGGGTGGGTTGAGTCAAAGATTGTTCATTATTTAATAAGTTGACAATTTCTTTTGAAGTTGGCTTGCTTGCTTAACAAAAATACACGGGCGGAGTTCTTATTTAAGTAAACTTGAGTTATTCATAAATAGCTAGTTCATTTTTCACACCTGATTACTAAAGAGGCTGGCATTAAGAAATGAAATATAAAATAATGATGCAAGCTGTATTTCTTGAATTGCTCTGTAATTGAATCCAAAACCGCAATCTCTCTCAAAGATGATCAAGGGTAGCCCTAAGTAGGTTTCTGTAGATCTCTCACCATATCCTACGACACATGTCAGCCTATCCACCACACAACATTTTATCTTCATGCTTGATTCTGCCCTATGTTATATATGAATTCGGGTACATGTGTCAGGTGCCAATATGTATCCGAGCGTTGGGTTTGTCAAATTCCCAAACAGAAAAACACAGACACTTTTAAATATTTGTATTTTATTTGATTTTTTAGAGTAAGATATTGTCTTTATGTAACATATTGATTAATACAGGAATTTCACTAATTTTGAAGAAAAAATATAATAAAATTGAATTATTGTCTATGCTTTTTATGTGCATATCGAGCCAAAAGTGTCGGACACAGTCCATACCCATGCTCGAGCATTGTGTGTCCAACACAGGTACTTCATGTACTTTTGAAGAGTCCATGTAACATAAAGTTCTGAGGAACACACCTTGAGTACTTTAATTTGTTTGCATATGCTCTAGAAAAATGGATGTTTCCTCGGCAACAAGTGAGGAACTTTTGAACTTTCAAAAGGTTTCCTCTACTACCACAATATGAAACTGATGCAGAAGTGGGTGGAAGGGGCTTCGATATCACAATTTCAAAGGGAACAAGAAGAGAATGAGATAGAAGAGAAGAAGAAGGGAGAAAAAATCACAATAATCTCTGAATATTCAATATAATCAATCATAAAAGGACCTTTCACAATGTATCAAACCACATATTTATAGGATGCAAGAAAACCCCAATCAAACCTATTACCATAAATAAAACCCTACAATACTAGAAAATGGAAATATCCTAAATTAAAACATTAATAACACAATAATAATAATAAATAAACAAAAACCCCTAGTTTTATCTATCTTTCCCACGTCTCCAATAGTAGGTTTGGGCCATGTGTACCTCAAGCTCTCGGGCCAGGCTCGATTCTTCATCATTCCCTCCCGGTTGAGAAGAACTCTCCTCCGGAGAGTAAAGGCATATGTACATTTCCGAAAAGTATGAGTCAGCACAACAAAGCTCATCTCTAGACTCCACATAATATCTGAAGTTGTAAGGTAATTCTGGATATCCCAAATATGAGAAGCATAACTCTGAAAATCAAAAGTATCCTCAATCCAATCCAAATAATACGGCTGAAAGGATGGAGGAACTAATGTTGGTGCTGAGGAAAATATACATCCACCTGTAGGAACACATGCCAATAAAATAGGAGGCTCAAAGGTGCTAGGTAACAAATGCTCCACATCAAAAATTGAATTAGTACTCAAATCCAATGACCAATCAAAGAATTATGCATTAGGCCCCGATTTATGAATGTTGTGGAAAAGTTTAAGCATTTTGGCATGTTTTATCTTGAAGAAATTTGTAGGATATTGTTGAGGTAGCGCACAAATTATAGCATAATCTCCTTCAATTAATTCATGAGTCCTATGATGAGCGTATGTGGTAAGTTCATAATTCTTTTTACCAACTACCAGTAAATTGATTTGTCAAACTAGTATAAGCATACTCCATTATAGGCAATAACAACTTCCAAGTGTCACAGTGCACTCTAACAAGAAAACTAACCAACTTTCCTAGATCTTGCTTCACTACTTTAATCTTCCTATCAGTCAGAGGACAAACTACTAAAGAGATTTTTAAATTTGTTCCTAAAAGTGCCCAAAGTGTCTTCCAAAAATTACCGCGGTGCTTGATATCTCTGCGACACAATGGAATTAGATGACTCATGCTGTTTAAAAATCTCTTCAACGTTATCGGGAATAAACTCTTTTGGTTTACACTCATTCCTTGGATGAGTTAGTGCAACACGTTCCCTAGGATGTGTGAGTTTATGTGTGGCATCAGATGAATGTGATCCTAGCGCTAAGGCAATAATGTTTTGCATAACATTCATTTGTGACAATATAGTTGGGTGTTTCTTAATTGCCATATTTTCAATCCCATTTAAGTTAGTGCAGTTAGGTAGTGGAGAATCCAACATTTCAGTTGTGACATGGGGAACTTCCTTAATTACTACTTTTTCTTCTTTTGACAACACCTTTTTGACATCATTAGGTAGGGAAGATGATAACTTTAGTGTTTTAGAATCCTTTTCTGGTCGCTTTGCAGGCCTTAACAAAAGAGTTTTGCCATTATATTTGAAGCGGTAATTATTCTCCTTGCTATGGTGAGTCACATTTAAGTCATTGATTCAAGGGCGACCAAGTAACACGCGTGCTAAGTCAAGGGTAAAACATCACACGAAATGTTATCAAAGTAATCACCTATTTGAATAGGGACTAAACACCATTCTGTAACAGTCAAGAAAGTTCCATCAACCCAGGCCATCCTATATGGCTATGGGTGAGGTTTGGGTTGAAGCTCTTTATAACACCTGATTTTGACACTGCATTTATTGAACTTTCTCCATGTATAATTACTTTATAGACCCTGTCTCCAAATCTGAGATATGTATGAAATATGTTGGTGCGCGTCCAATCATCTTTTCCCATAAGGATAGATGGTCTGCACATCATGTCATTATTACAGGTCTCATCTTCCATATGATCTTCCCTAGGTCTGGAAACGGTTCACTATCATCTAGGTCATGTAGATACTCAGGTGAATATCTACATTCTGAGACTTGCGAGGGTTTGACAACTAGAGGTCTTCTATCCTTATCACGTGGCTGAAAGCCTCCATCATCATGAAGAGAGAAAGAGTGTGTGGATCTCCCATCCAAGCCCTCTTGAACTGCTGAATTTTTTTTATCAGGGCTCACTGATGGAAACAAAAAATTGAACCTTGGCACATATAGTTCATGCTTTTGGTGTGGGTGGTACGCAGGTCTATATTTGTCATGCCTATAAAGCTTCTTAGGTCCCTTTTCTATCATATTAAAAAAGGGCATTTTTTTTAAAAAAATAAAAAATGGGACAACAACAAATGTTAAAAGTAACAAATAACAGATATATTTGCTTCTAACTAGGAAAGGGCATTATTTTAATTAAAGACAACAAAAATTAACTTCAATCAATCAGTCAACCAATTAGTCAGTAATTGGAACCTCAACTTCAGCTGTGTCAATGCTTGGAATCTCACCATCAGCAGGTGTGGAATGCAGATAATTTTGCCATCACAATTGCTTGTTAATCTCCATGAGATTGAATATATTGTGGGCTAGCTTGTATTGCTTAACAAAAATGGAAATTGGCTTATTTGTCTCATTTGGATTCATTAACTTTGTTTATTGATAATAGGTAATCAATACCCATTCAGTTCGGAAAGGCAAACTTGTTAATTGAGTCCATGACCAAACTCAAATAGGGATAAGATCAACAGTTCAACACATATAATTAGTAGCAAATTGTCCATGGTTCTTTTTGTTACAACTGGAAAACAGTTTATCGTGCAGTGTAATTTATCCTTCAGGGGAAAAGAAAATCCTTATCTATGATTCTAATTTGTGTAGGTAAATGAAGGAAAAATTCCAAAAAACAGTGTTGCTCTTCAGATGCTGGCTGAAGAGATGATTCAATGGCCTAATTTAGAGGTATTGTTGGTACTCTTTGCACACTAAAATTCCCAAAGTATGGAGGTGATATTTTGGACACTTTTTTTTTTTGGTTGATAAATAGTGTATATATTAATGTGAATTGTTTAGAATTCTTTTTTTTTTTTTTTTTTTTTTTTTTTTTTGACATTTTCTTTGAACTCTAATATTGCATCATATGTTAGGATTACTTCTGCTGATTACAAGGTAAAATACATCCATTTTGAAATTAGATAGAAAACTCAAATCTGTTGACATAATCCAAATGTTGTGCTACCAGCTTTCTCGGTATGGTCTGAAAGTTGACTGGACAAACACAACATACCTGTCCTGCTAATCACATAACTGAAAAATAATAATTTCTTCGTGTCAGCCCCATTGACAATGAAAACACACGCATACAAATAAATAAATAAATAAAAAAGTAGTACTAGTAGAAGTAAAAGAACAGCTATTATTTGATGACTTGTGCATTATCCGTAGTTATCCGCTGTGTTTGTAAGAAATTTTGAAAGAAAAACAAAGTGATACTAATATAAATGTTATCTTTAATCTCTTTATTGGTAATAAATTTATTTCTTCAAGTAATTCAATAGCAAAATTTACGCTTTGTGGTCGTTACAAATTTTTGTATATTCTTGCAAATCATTTTTTTCTTTTTCTTCTTTCTATAAAACATGGTATATGAAAGACGAAAGAAGATTTTTGTTTGTGACGTTGGCAGTTATCTGGTAAAATTTTACTTTTTTACGTTGTAATAATTATTATATTATTTTTTAAATGTCATTAAATATATATATATATATAGGGTGAATACAGAAATCAGAAATATATGATATATCTATATACACAATGTATTTTTATGTGTTTTTTACAACTGTTAAGAGTTGAACCTTCAAAACTGCCGCCCCCCTTTAGATGCATGCTTCCACTGTTATGCTACGATAGCCTTGGTTGGGATGAATTTTATCTGGCAGTAAGTCATTATTACATATAAACTAGACATGATGGTTACATATAAATTTCTGGGACACAGATTTTCGGAATCTTTTCTAGCATCTCTATAGTTTCATTTAGAATTTTGGCATCTCTGAAAACCTTTCAAAATTTCATTTCTGATTTCAATGTTGAAAGTAATACCTATATATCCATCCACATATCTAGATTTTTGGATCTTGACGTATAGGTTGACATTGATATACTGAACCTTCAGAATGTATAATACCTACGTGGTTTACCCTGTTTCTTAGTTGCTGGTAAATTTTTTATTATTGTAACTGATGCTTTTGAGATCAGCTTATCTATGTCACATGGATAAAACCTACACTCTATAATGGTACTGAATTCCTCTTCTATTTGATCAGTTGAATCATATTGAATTAGGACTCTTTTGTTTCATATGGATTAAATTGACACCCAGTAAAGGTATTGATTTCCTCATAGGAATTTGTTCATCCTTGCTGCATTTGTTGAATAGGTTGAAGCATCAAAGAAGAAGCCTAAGAAATCCCTATATGCAAAAGCCACAGACACTGGTATTGATCCTCAAGTAGCTGCTAAGAGACTCAACATTGATTGGGATTCAGCTGCTGAGATTGATGATGCTGATGACAGTGATGATACTGAAGTTCCTTCAGCTGTGGTTAGTTACTATTCCCCTATAATATTTAGCTAGTCTTATATTAGTAATTGGCATTGTGTTTCGAATTAATGCCATATGATTTAAGTGGTTGGTTGTAATGACGTTGCTTCAGTCTGTGCTTCCAAGTCTTGCTGCAGCATTCATACTTGATCAACATCTTATATGATATTATTGATGCTAAATTCGAAAGTAATATTTGTTTTTCAATAAAATAAAATAGAATAAAATAATTAAAGTAATCTTGTGAGTCTGTGACAGATACTAATTTTAAAATTTTGAGGGATTTGCTTGATTGTTCAAACAATATACAACAAAAAAATACAGAATGTCATAATGCCATTAGAACGATCTTAACAATAAATAACGGTTGACTCATCATTATCTCCTCTAGTAACCAAAAATTAAACCTCCACACTATTGTAACCATTAATCCTAGCTGTATTACAAAGCTCAATGCTACTTATTAACCTGCATTCTGGGATATGAAAGCTGACCGAAATTAGGTGCATATTAAAATGACAAACAAAAATCTGCTGATCTAGTACTATTCCACGAGTTGTCTCTTTATTTGTTTATTTATCGACTCTGAGAACACATTCTCTTTCAGGGATATGGAGCTCTGTACTTGGTCACGGCATTTCCAGTCATCATTGGTATCTCCGTGGTGTTGATTCTATTTTACAATTCTCTCCAGTAAAAATTTTGCAATGCCATTAATGTATATTCCCTATCCTTGCGGAAAAAGATCAAATGTCACTGGCTTTAATTCCTTGAACTTTGTATGTCAAATTTAGAAAATAAAATGATAATTGTTTCCGTTATATGATTCTATGTGCTGCAGTGGGATATTTTCATTAGATCAACTTGTATGACTTATCTTAGCCTACTGAATTTTTTTTTCATTATTCTCTTCTTTTTGAATGGAAAATACACATATAGGTTCACCTTTTCTTTTCTCAATTTTTTGTTTTCTCATGCTGTCCATTGGCTATGAATTAATACGATTTCACAATAATTTCTTATATACATACATGTGGGATTGCATATTAATCTGCTAATGCATACACATCAATCCCTATACCTTGTATAAACTTGTCAGATGTATGTTCGTGCATCATGTGGCCAACTCCTTCCATATGGAATAGCGGCAAAAATGACGAAGATGAGATGTATGCTCGTGCATGCATTGTTTCTTAGTTTGTTGGGGAGAATTAGGTTATGATTGATGAAAAATAGGCCGTCACCAGATTATATTATGAAGGTCAACTCTTTCATGGATGGTTAGTTGACACCCTTCTTATTAATGTTCTTTCTTACATTTTTATAACAATCACATTATATTATATTGACATGTCCCTCTTTATGTGTGGAGAAAGAGGTGGGAATCACGATGAGACATGTCATGCACGTTCTAGCTTCTATACATTTTCCCTTCTTCATCCTTTAAATTGTTCAATTCACCATCTGATCATCAAGTCTCTCAGAAGTCATGATACTTCCAGCTTCAGATTTAGTGCTTCCTTGTGTAGACAATGCTCAGGAACCAGATGAAATTTACAATAGAGCTACAGATGTCTGCTTGACTGCTGAAAATCTCGATGACACCGAGTTCTTGTACCTCGAGAATCCGAAGATGTTGGTCAAGAAGGCGAGTCTGCAGAAGGAGAAGCAGATTTCAGTAGATCCCATATCATTGAGAGACTATGTGAATCCACGTTTAGTCTTGCCGCCAGTTGTTACAACCAGGAAACTTGATGGTGCCTCTGTTCTGCCTCCCTTACTTCCTGCAAAACCGAAGTTCTTAAGCACCAGCCTTCCGGGTTCTGCCACTTCATCGCCTCGGTTTGGCTCGGGTACGTTGAAGAAGAAATGGAAGAACAGCAGCCAAGTATCTTCTCTCTCGATCAATCCTCTGTTCCGGCAACATTCTGGGTCCCTCTATCATCTTGCTCAGCTCCCGGAGAGTGACTTTCGAAGGTGCAAGTCTCATGGTGAAGGGAGAGCCAGCGCCCCGTCTGATGAGTTTGATATGTGGCTGACTAAAGTGAATGGTACCGGACATGATGAGGACCGGCATTGCAGCAGTATGTGCAGAACTGAAGTTAAAACGGATGGACCCAAGCGTGGTGAGGACATGGATTGTAACGAAGAGAAGTTCAAATGTGGAGCTCTATGCTTGTTCCTGCCAGGCTTTGGTAAGGGAAAACCAGTGAGAGCAAGAAAAGAGGGTGCTGAAATGGCGCATGTGATCTCCCGGACAGTTTCACTCGAAAAATTCGAATGTGGATCGTGGACATCATCGGCCATAATGAACGGTCACAACGAAGATGACAGAGATTCCATGAATCACTACTTTGATCTGCCATTGGAGCTGATCAGAAGTGGTGTCAATGAAGCGCATTCGCCAGTGAGAACAGCATTTGTGTTCGATAAGGATCTGAAAGGAGTTCTCAAGAAAGGTAGGTCAAGAGCAACGCCGAGAAAGTCCCACGAATCGCCTCGCCGTGTTCGTTTTTCTACTTCATCGCCCGCGTCTCACCCTGCCTCGCCGGCTGCTTGCATTACACCACGCCTGCGCAAGGCAAGGGATGATTTTAATGCCTTCTTAGAAGCACAGGGTGCATAACAGTTTTCACATTTTACACAAGTGTCCTCTTAAATTTTGATCAACTTTATTTCCAGATAATAAATTTAAGAACACACTCAATTAAATGAGTTCCAAAGTTGTTTCTTGTTTTTGTTTTAATCCTTTGGGAACATAAAACCATTTTGGAAAATATAAACTAAGCAGTCCCTGTGTTTTTGTGTGCATTGTACTGCTTTCTTTTGTCTTTATGAAAGAAAGAATGGGCCCAAATTCGTAAGATTATGACCCCTTTTTTATATATTTATTTATTTCTTCTCCTGTGGCCAAATGGTAAACAAGACCTTGTCAATCAGATGAATAAATAATGAAAATATATATAATAACAAGGTCTATTCAGCATCACCTTGTAGCCTAGTAGTAGTAACTTCTTAGTGCACACGTAAGGTTTCAAAATATTGATTTTTTTAATAATAATTATTTTCTTTCAAAAATTCAAAAATAAAAGTAATATATATAAGGCTTAACATGGACTGTCTTTAAATATTACCAAATTAACGACCTAAATATATTTAAACTTAAACAACAGCTACAAAATAATAATAATAATAATAATAATAAATAAACAATAAATAAATGGTAGGTAAATTTGTATAAATAATTTATTTTTTTATCTCAGAGTGGTAAGGGTCAAGTCTCCATAGTGTCAATAGGTGCATGAGTTTCTTGCAAAAAAAAATTTCAAAAATTCAAAGATGGAAGTAATATATACAAGGGCACAAGCCATAAATATTATAAAACCAACAACTGCTAAAAAAAAAAAAAAACAATGCTATCACTCCCTGTTTTAACACGACATATCATAATCAAATTTATTAATGCATACTATTATTGTATTTTGTCTTTAAAAACTGTAATCTATAATTGTTTTTTTTTTTTTTTGTCTTGCAAACTAAAAAATCGAGAATCCATCCCTGAACAAAATAAATGGGCAGGTGTTTTTATCTATTTATTTATTAAAACTTAGGTTCGTCTTTCAAAATAAAAATTCAGACTTTAAATCCGTCCCAGGGACAAAAATAAATGGGCGTGTGTATGTTTTTCTTCTTTTGGCATTAAAATTTAAGTTTGACCAGTAGTTTATTTGCTCTTGGTAAGTTTGACTGGACTGTGTGTTTGTTAGGGTGCTTGTAAAAATAAAATAATAATATTGATGTTACAAGCACCCTAGATTGTGTATTTTCTGTTTCATTTTCTTCTTTTTCAATTTGAAATTCTGTGTATTGTGTGTGTTTGACTCTTCAGTGCTTTACTTTTTTTTAAAAAAAATTGTATTTTTTTTTTTAAATTTCATAGTTATTTGTTTGTTCATAAACCCAAAACTTTCATGGGTTATTATCATAATGCGTAAATGAGAGAGAAAGAAGAGGAGGTTGTCAAATTACTTGTAAAAGAAAGGTTTGGAACGAGAATTTATGTGGTTGACCCCTATCATATGTGATTTAAGATAAGAATAATGATGATGATGTAACAATTCGAATCTGAGGGTCTGAATCGCTAACCGGGTCCTTACCCGAACCCGAGATCAACTAAAAACGTTACCGTCTTTTCCTATATCAATACATAATATACGTGTCATCCCAAGGTTTATAAATAATAATAATAATAAAATGAGATCATAGCTACAAAATATGTCAAACAGTCCACTAACCCATCAAAACCTGTGGAGGAACGTCGTCCGCCACTTCCTTCTTATGACCTGAAAAATGTTAAAATGATGGGGTGAGCTAACGCTCAGTAGAAAGTGTCTAAGACACGCCTCTTATGACTTCGTGAATCCACATAGAGAATAGAAAGTAAGAGAACGGGATCATATCTCAAGAATCAAGTAAAACCACTGTATCATCAACAAACATACATATCTCAATCAATTACCAAATGCACCACGTATGTCAATGATGTGCCATGCCATGCAATGTCACTTCCCGTTTCCGAAATCATACCGTTTCAACTTCCAAACCGTTAGTGTAATCCGACTTAAGGCACCTCCAAGGCGTCACGAAAGGGGGATTGGCTAACCATCCACGACCATAAGGCACCTCCAAGGCATCGCATCCGGCCTGGTTAGCTCAACCACACTAAAGTCTCTCCCTAGTTCCCACTCTAGACCACACTAACACCACGGACCACTAGGAGCCTCCTAGGCGTCTGAGTTTTCACAAACACTTTTCAAAAACTTTTTCCCAAAACAATTTCATTGGTTTTTTTTAAAAAATATATTTTTCCCTTTTTTCTTTCCCAATAGATGCATTAATGCTTCATGATTCCAAATGCTAAATTCAACAACTATGTTCCATACATTTTACAGATATCATAATCACAACTTGTAAAAGAATATTAAAATTTTTTTTTTCTACAATTATGACATCAAATTTCCATGGCAATTGAAATACATAAAGTAAACAACTTGTCATTTATAAGCATGCTTCTTCACTACAAGGATGTAACTAAATTTACAAACTCATTTATCACATAGCATACATCCACCACTTTAGATATAATCAACCACAATCACATAGTCAAAATAATTGAAATTAAACATGCTTATAGTCAATTTAAGAAGAAAAATTCACATAGAACCTAAGAAATTGTGAATTAGAACACCCCTACCTCAAAAGTAATCAAAATACATCCCCGGCTGGAAAAGTCAACGCGGTCAGTGTCGGTCAATAAAAGTCAATGCTGGTCAATGGCTGCGGAATAGAAAACTGTTCAGTGGGAACGTAACCGTCAACGAGGAGATTCTACTGTTCCAAAGGCTCAGCTCCGAAATCTGACTCTAAGTGGTCCAAAACCCCCTTCGAAGCCTTAGATAAAAAAATTTTAAAAATTCGTAAAATAAACCCTTTGACTATGTGATAAAGAATGATGAGAGGAACGTTTTCCGTTAAGGAACCAAGATCGAAAACTCGATCGATTGGCCGGAAAATGAAAGAGAAAGATGAGGCATAAAAGAAAATGAAAAAAAATAAATAAAAGGGAGAGAGAGAGATTCACGCAGTGAGAGAGAGAGAGAAAGAGAGAGAGAGAGAGAGAGCTGATCTGACTAATGGCCTTAAGGCCTTTAAAATGAATAAAAATGGTGGTCCCACAAGCTTTATAAATATCTTACTTTATTTTATATATATATATATATATATAATATACACCAATTACTTAACTACCACATACTAATCATTTAACCAAATAAATGTGTATAATAAAACAATGCATGAAATATAATGGACCCATGGCAAAACTCTCGTGCATATAACGATTCCAAAACTGATACTTTTTAAACAAAAAAAAAAAAAAAATTCGGCATGACCTCCCCTAAAAATAGGCCTATCACAACCTGTTTAAATTCATCTTTAACCTATCATGGCTCAAATTCCGAATTCACGGCAATAGTAGATGATAATATACAATCAAATGACCTCAATAATACTTCAAACTAGTATTACTCTCCCCATTCATCAATAAGGTTTACATGTTATCAAATTCACATCCAAAATATCATCTAATAACATAATTATATTACCTAACCATGGTTTTGAAAAATAAATACACATTACTACACTTTTGGGGCCTTACAAAAATGGGAGATTTACAAAAGATACAAAATGAGCTCCAAGTCATCCTTAAGCTTGTGGAAGATCGGCATCCACTACCTCCTTACCGGTTCCTGGAAAATGTTAAATAAAATGGGGTGAGCATAAAACTCAGTAGAGAGTGCCTAAGACGCACCTCTTGTAGCCCCGTGAATCCAAACAAAGCATAGGCCAATAGGAAGAGGGGTCATGCAAAATGAGGGAAACACATATTAAATTCCAATTACAAACAATCATATGTAAAATGCCATAAATGCTATGATATGCGTGTCACTCCCCATTTCTCAGAAAACAACCATACTTTTCAAACTGTTAATATAACCTGCCCTTTGGTGACCCCGCAGCGACACGAGAGGAGGATTGGCTAGTGTCCCTGACTCTTGGTAACCCCGCGGCGTCATTATGGGGCCCAGCTAGCTCAACCACGCTAGGGCGACTCCCTAGTCCCCTCTAGGCTATATTAACCTCCGGCCCTTTGGTACCCCCGCGGCGACCGGGTTTCTCAAAAAAAAACTTTTTCAACAAAGCTTTCCCAAAAATCCCCATTCTTTCATTTTTCAAAAGTCATTTCCATACATGCAATCCCCAATGATGAATTCATGAATGCCACATACTTTCAATGTTGTAATATAAGGGATTTCTAACATTTGTCATACCGTGACAATATCATAAAATGGGGAATTTAATACCACAATTTACCACACATGCTCACAACAATCAACTAGATATTTAGCATTATAACAAGCATGATAAATCAACCATTTATCACAATTTCCATACAATCGAACAAATACACATAGATACATGTTTCACATACACGATTAAATCATTTAAGGAGTAATCCATCTAAACTAAGCATGCTTATCACATAAGTCAACAAACACACATATATAAAATCTTTATATGCACCATTAAATCATTTTTAAAGCAATCAACCTTAAATCAAGCATGTTTGGCCAAAATTTTAGAGGAATAACTCACTAAGGTACAAGAAAAGTGTGAATTAGACACCTTTACCTCTAATTGAGCAAAAACCCTAATTTTCTTCACAAACCCTAGAAATGGGTCCTAAGATTCAAACTCCAAGGAGTGCACTAAATCTGAAATCGCTTGTATGGATGTGTAGAGCTTGACACGAGCTTCGTTTTGCCTCAAACGACACTCAATTTCGATAAGAAATGAGATCAAGATCTTGTTTCAAAGTTTTGGAAATTAAAATGAAAAGAAAAACAGAGAGGAAGAGGGGAAGAGAGAGGCGCACGGGAGAGAAGCAGAGAAATGAGACTATTTGTGGTCTCTTGGCCCTTAGTTGGTTTAATGGTAGGTCCCACCACCTTTTATTTTCTTTTTCCTTTAACTTTTTGCTTAAATTTGAGCCATAACACAACATAATACACATATTATATATACACCTATGCACATAAATACACAGACATTACATTCTCCCCAACTTAAAAGGATTTCGTCCTCGAAATCAAGACATACCTGAGGAAGAAAACAACGCTGGGTACTTGGACCGAACCTCCTGTTCGAGCTCCTAAGTAGCTTCCTCGACTCCGTGGTGTCTCCAAAGGACTTTCACCATTGGTATCGTCTTGTTTCTCAACACCTTCTGTTGTGTGTCAAGGATCTGA